AATAGGTACAATTTTGGACTCAAACTTCTAAGCACTGGACCATGAAAACTGTTTTGTATATTTTTGATGTCATAGCAACAGCAATAAATATTTACTAATCACCTATTCAGTTGGAACCAGGGCCCATTTTAGGTGCTGAAGAAAGAGCTGCAATCAAGGCTGACTTGATGCCAGCTCTCCTGAAATTCCAGCCTGGTAGGAGGGACAAATCATAAACCACTAAACACACACAGAAACATGATGCTTTCTGGGAATGTTATGTGCTCCGAAATGGAGAGCATCTAGATGATGTTGTAGACATTGATCGGGGCCATTTCAGATTGGGTGAACAGGGGCGGCCTTCTGAAGCTCTGAAGGGGCAGTGGCAGCCCCCAGAAGCTCTGGGGGAAAAGCCCCAAGAATAGAGGCCAACCAGGGTGGTGCAGCCACCGTGGGACTGAGTTGGGCTGTGATTTTAGTACTGTGAATAAGGCTTTATTCATAGAGTAGAAAGAAGTAAGGTCAGAAATACAGGCAGGAGCCAGAATAAACAAGGTCGTAAAGCCACAGAGAGGGGTTGTGGTTTGCTATGAATATGCTGGAAAGCCTTAGGAGGGTTTTAAGTAAAAATAACCTAAGCTGATTTAGGATTTTATTTTATAATTCTTTTTAAAAAATTCATTGATGAGAGAGAAACATCGATTTGTTGTTCTACTTATTCATGCTTTCATTGGTTGATTCTTGTATGTGTGCCTGACAGAGATCAAAGACACAACGTTGGTGTATTGGAAGACGCTCTAACCAACTTAGCACCCAGCCAGGACTGATTTATTTATTTATTTTAAAAAGATTTTATTTATTTATTTTTTGAGAGAGGGGAAGGGAGGTAGAAAGAGAGGGAAACACCAATGTGTGGTTGCCTCTTGCACACCCCCTACTGGGAGCCTGGTCCACAACCCAAGCATGTGCCTTGACGTGGAATTGAACAGGCGACCTATTGGTTCGCAGGCCGACACTCAATCCACTGAGCCCCATCAGCCAGGGCATGACTGATTTAATTTTAAACAATCACTCTGGCTGCTAGGAGATGCCTAAACCAAGTGCAAGTTTCAAAAGTACATTAGATCTCTAAGTCATGATAGAATCACTTTTTATATTTATTGATCATAGAATCATGTTTTTCTAACATAACTAAAGATAAATTAAACTTCATGCTCCATATGAAAAGTAGAAATTTGTCTTCACATATTTTGAATGTTATCTAAATTTTTACTTTAAACAAACTTTATATAATCTTTCATAGTCTAAAGATAGAAGGTATTTTTAATCAGAATCTTTATTGCATGCCATTCAAAAATGTCCAAGTGATTTAAAATTTCCCAGGAATCTTTTGTGAGTCAAAAAAGGGTTAGGAACCCCTGACCCCAAAGTGACTCCTCAGCTGAGAGAAATAGCACCTTTGTACGTCACAACTAGGTAGAGCCCTATTAACATACCCTTCAATGCCCACAGCCTCAGCTCCTTTATGGTGTTCCCAGGCACCCTCGAGTTAGCCAGTCCTAAAGGGAATTAATTCATTGCTGTTGCCAATTGGTTACGGGCCTCCAAGGGTATACCATCACCTTCTCCTGGGCATGCCTTCTAGTGAATGTCACCACTCACCACCCACTCTTTCAATAGACAGGGTAGGCTTGGGCAGAGGCTGAGGTCAGAGAAGCCTTACCTCAGTGCAGGGGCAGGAAAGTTGGACCGCAGGAGGTAACCTAGGAGAAGAAGCCAGGCTTACTGGAGGGGAAGGTGTTTCAAAGGAACATGTGCAAAGGAAATGAGAGTCAAAGGTAATGACATGTGGGGGACTGAGCTCAGTTCATTGTAGTTTCAAAGCAGAGCAGGGTGTGCTCTCCTGGGATAGCACTGGCATTTACTACTTTCCAAGTCTTGTGACCCATCACGTGCATCTCAATAAACCTGTCACCTCCAGGACCTGTCTGGCTCGCCAGCCTTGCCCAGTTTCTCTCATTTGCTGGGGATGGACCGGTCTGCATTCACTCACGCAGACCAGGGCTTGCTGGGGCCTTACATAGTGTACCAGGGGATGAGGTAGGGTGCAGTGAATTCCTCCTTTTATCCTTCACACTAGCCTGTGTCTGGACAGGGGTCTTGCTGGAGATAATTTTATTACGGTTTCTTGCAACCCATGTTTTACTGTCGAGTGTACCTGGAAGAGATGCTGCTGCTTCTCCAGAGGACAACCAAATAAAGTGAACCGTTTCCTAAGCCCTGAATAAAAAAAATGGGCTTCTGACCAGCTCAGCCACTTACCTCTCTGGGCCAGGGGTTTGTTGGATGAAATCAGCTGCATCCCTTTAACTCAGGGACCTACATTTTCTGCAACAAATCGGACCCCTAAACCTTGCTCCCCACAAGAGCAGTTCTGCCCCCCGTCCTTCCAAGCCCGAATCCGCTGAGAGTTTTTATGCCATCGAGCTGGTTCTTCCCACTGCCTGGAATCCTTTTCTTTTTCCTTCTTGCCAACTCCTATTTCACCCCTTACAACCCAACTCAAGTCATCTCCGGAAAGCGGGGCCTCTTCTTTTCAGTCTCTTCCTCCTCTGCGCTCTTATCTCGCTGTCCTACAAGTGTGCATGTGTCAGTTTCGCCTCTCTTCGCGGATCTTGTGTGCCTCGAGGGCAGGGGCCGGGGGTGTGGAGGCCTCCAGGTCCCACCGCACAGCGCTGCCAGGTCCCGAGGGGCGTGGGCAAACGTCCGCGGCCGTGAGTTCGATCGGGGCGCTGCCGGGTTGAGGAGCCCTGACCTTGAAGGCCCCGCCTGAGGAACGCACCAACAGGTACGGGGGAAGCTGACCCAGAGGCTCGGATCTCCAGTCCCGCTTATTGCCCAAGACAGCAATAGGCGCTCCAACTTAAGTGAGAATTTTTTTAGGTCCCCGTGGTATAGACCCTGGTGCGGCTTCCCCTCAACGGTTGCGTTTCGTTCTCCCCACCAAGTGTGCTCTTGGTACAACCCGGGGATTTCCCGCTGCGGCTCGCCCCTGACGTCACGGAGTCCCCTGGAGGTCCCGCCCCAGCCCACTAGTGTGCCTTTTTAGGGCCCTGGTGCGCGTGGGGTAGGCGGGAGAGAGCTGCCATGGCGGGAGCCTGCGGCGCCGAATCCTCCGCTGCCCGCTGGAAACGCCACATCGTGAGGCAGCTGCGGCAGCGGGACCGCACGCAAAAGGCACTCTTCCTGGAGCTGGTGCCGGCCTGTGAGTGCGCCCTGGGGGGCTCAGAAGATAGCTGCGGACGGGACGGGGCTCCGAGAGAGTGTGGTTTCTCCGACTGTGACGCAAGTGCACCATTGCCTTCTCGCTTCCGAAGCCTTGGGCCTGCTGGACCTCCATCTATTACGCCCCATCTCCGACTAGCTACATTCCTGCCCTTTCCAGGCCAGGCGCTGCTTAGCGCCCCTTCCTACTTGGAGCTGATGACAAAGCTTCTTCCTACAAAGAAGCTTCTCCTGGTGCTCCTGCTTTCACCGCTCAGGGTCGGCTCTGACCCCCGCGAGCTGTGCTTCGTAGGCACTGGTTCATCAGCCAGTGCTGGTTTTGTAGGGTCTCTTGTGTTTCCCCCTGCCGGGTGTTTCCCTAGATAGAGCCAGGGCAGCCTGATTGGTCCCCATAGCCCAGCGAAAGAATGCGGGATGGTCTAGAGCAAATACTTTTTGGCCAATCGAGGGAAGGAGTGAAATAATCTCTAGGGAGGAGACTCAGAGTTTCCTGATAGGTGATCCTGGCCCAGGATTTTGGAGTGCTTCTGTGCCCGGCCAGCCCTGGCCTGAGGGAGAAACAGGGAGCCGCAGGCCCTAGGAGGGAGCTGGCTGAGCCCTCAAGTCACTTTCACAGCATTTTTTTCTGGGGAACCAGCTGGTCAGGAGGGAATGTGTAAGTCAAGAGGAATAAACAGGTGTGCACCTGTGTGTAGGGCCTCTGGTCACCAGAGATTGTTATGTCTGAGGTTGAGAGTCTAACCACAATTCCTGCAGCGCCATCACTGGGCCTAATCTTGGCTGAAGCTTAACCAGTTGTCCCCCACAAACACCTCCTCTCCCCAGCAAATGTGTGGGACTGGAGAGACTCTGGATGGCAGAAATCAGACACACTTAAGGTCCAGCTTCCCCTGTGGCCGAGGGCAGGATTCCTAAGCCTCAGATTTCTCACCCATAAACTGGGCAAAATGGCATCCTTAGACTTGCTGGCGGGGGGTGCAGGGGGCAGTGCAGAGCCCTGGTGACTGGGGTTTTGTGTGAGAGCTGGGCCTTCTACCTGCGTGGAGGTGACAGGTGACAGAGGTACTGGGTGAGGGAAGTTACTGAGGAGCTAGGCCTGAACTTACCACCCTGTGCCCTACCCTGGAACTGGTGAAAATAGAGGAAGTGACAGTGGGGGGGGGGGCGCGGAGAGGGTGGACGGAGTGCATTTCAGGGTCTGTAGCAGACACTGCCAGGCTTGGGGAGGTCTGCTGGACAGTTGCTCAAGGGCTTTCTGTTTCGGCTGGGATTGGGAGGAAGGGGGAGAGAGGAACTTTCCACCAACCTGGGGAAGTCATGATTGTTTTTTAGTCCAAAAAGTTAGGGGAAGTAAGGCCACAGGCCGGTGAAGCTCTATTTCATCGCTCTCTGGGTCCAGGCCCTGCCCTGGGGCAGGGGGATCAATCCCTGGCCCCTTCCTTTCTCAGGGACCTTGGCTGGACAATGCCCAGCCGTCTTCTTCCCCAGTGGTGGTTGTCCTTCTTTGTCCCTGGGACAGCAGGTCTTCTTCTGGGAGGACCCGAGGGCTAGGGCTGTGAGGAGGCTGTGCCAAGGCTGAAGGTCCTGATAGGGCTTCACAAAAGCCCTTAAGCAAGGGGTAGTGCTCAGTCTGCCAGGAGCTCTCCCATTCTGCACCCCTGGGCTCTTACCGTCCTCCCAGCCAGAGAGGTAACCTGTATGCCTGGAGTCTGCTGGAAGGTGTCTGTTTTTGCCTCAGGCTCACCCTCTTGCACCCCTAGATAACCGTCTCCTAGAGAAGGCTGAGCTGCTGGCCCGGTTCTCAGAGAAGCTGCACCCAGAGCCAAATGATGTCACTCCTGCTCCCCACCAGGGCCCCTGGTGAGTGTATTTGTGTTCATGGTCACAATGGGCTGCCTGTGCGTAGGCCCAGCCCCAATCACCTATGCTGGGTTCTCTCCCTGGCACCTCATTAGCCCCTGGCTGCCACCCAGGAGAGGGGATGCTAGCTCCTCAGCCTTCCCCCAGGCCAGCTACTTAGAATGTCCTTCCCACCCATCTCAGTCCATGTCTGCGTTTGTCCCCTCTCCTTCCCCTCCGGCCCCCACACTGGTCTTTTCCCCTTCTCTGTCTGTCTCCCTCTTCCTTACCTGATGCCTATCAAAAGGGTCTTGCTACCTATTCCAAAAAGGGAGTGAAGCTGAGAATCGGGAATGGTTTGGGGTGCAGAGTTGGGAGGTGCTTCTTGAGGAGGGTCCTGACCATGGAAACCAAGGCTTGGGGAACACCAGGAGCTGAGGAATCGTGGACATCTTCAATTTCTGGAGACATGCTCTTTCCTCTACTGGCTTTCTGACTTCCACCTTCTTCAGCAGAATGTTCATGGCCCCGGTTTCAGGCTTTTCATACACATCCCCTGGGTGAATGGAGGGACAATGAGTACCATTCTTTTGATTGGTTGGCAGGGAGGAGGAGTTGGGGTCTGACTCAGACCAAGTCCCGTCACCAGCCACTCTGAGGGTGAAATGGCAAGAGAAGAAGGAGGAGCTCCAGCTGGACTGTGGTAAGGTAGGCTGGGCAGGGGTCTGAGAGAGAATGGCGTGGGGTCAGGATCTTCGGCGGCCGGAAGATGTGGTCCAAGGAAGCCAGCAAAAGGAGGACATTCCCCAAGTCCAGTGCCTGGAGGCCAGATGGTCAGAGTGTTCTCCAGCTTGGCTCTGGCAGCCCAGGATGAAGTGGGCTCTAACAGCAGCTGGAGGGAGTGAGGTGGGAGCTTGGGGAGGAACGCGAGGTACACAGGGGCCAGGCGGCCTCTGTCCCTCCTTCCTGGTGGCCCAGCCAGGGCTCACCGCTTACCCTGCCAACCCCAGGGCCTACCACCAGTGGATGTTCAATACACACTTACAGATTAAATGAGTAAGGTGGTCCCCCTCGATGGCAGGGTGCACCGCCTCCACCGCACACTGCTGCCCCCGACCCCGCATGCTGTCTCTCAGCTTATTTCACCACACTCTCCTGGTGTTCCTCTCATTTCTGTACCTGTTGCTTCTGAACTTCTTTGTCTGGCTCCTTCCCATCCTCCCTGTCCTTCTTCCTTTACATGTCGATGTTCCTTGGAGCTCTGGTAGGTTCACTCACTCCCACAGCCTCAGAGGTTTTGTTTGCTGACCCCCAGACCTGTCTCTAACCCAGACTGTCTTGCTCGGCTGCTTTTTTTGGACTTCACATCTAAAGTCAGACTCACCATCGCCCTCATAATAATGTGGCCAACGTCACATTGAGGCGACTCCCTGCAGGCACTGGGCTAAGCATTATTTCAGCTAATTTCTCCACAACTTTATGGTTGCAGAGGAATTTGAGGCTTAGAGAGGAGGAGCCAGGATTTGAACTCTGTCCCACATGAATCCATCTTCTGCGCTCTCCATCCGTTCAACACATATTTACTGACAATTACTATATGCAAGACACGGGGAATGCAGTAATAAACAAGACCTGGCCTGTAACTGGGTATGAGTTTACTGATAGGCCAGCACCGATGGGCCCGTAAACCCCTACCCAGTTACAGCACGCCAAGTCACTTGCCCAACCAGTGTGGGAATGGGGCTGTGAACCCAGTGACAGCCTCTCCCTCAGAGTCCTGATGTAGTTACAACTTGACATTTGAGGAGCGGTTCTCAAGTATCTGAGCCCCCTTGTAGGCTGTGCGCACCCCGAGGGTCTCTAACCCAGACTGGACACACACCAGTCAGCTCCCGTTGGCTATGCCAGGGGATGAGGAGGGGCTTTCCTTTAATTATTAGTATTATTTCATATATCACAACAAACATGTATCATTATTATTAACCTTTTATTTTGAAATAATTATAGATTCACAGGGAGCTGCAGAGGTAGTACAGAGAAGTTCTGTGTACCCTTTACCCAGCTTCCCCCATTGGTTACATCTTATGTAACTACAGCACACACAACCAGAGAATCAATATTGGTATGAACTGTCTGTAGTCCTTTGTGTTTTTGTCACGTGTGTATTTGTGTGAACATTAAGATACGGCACTGTTTCATCACCAGAGATCTCTCTCTTGCTACCCTATTTTAGTCACAACTTACCCCTCTTCCCCCAATCCTTTCCAACTCCTGGTAACAACCAATCTGTTTTCCATCTATGTTATTTGAATTTTGAAAAGTATCAAATAAAAAAAAATTCAGTACCAAAACATCAATGAATGTAAATGACAAGTGAAGATGCAGAAGTGGCGGTCAGATTGCTTAGTGGTGAAAAGGGTGATAAATGTTACAAACCAGGCCAGCTATGAAAGCGGGCCTCGCCGCCTTGCGTGCACAGGGCTGCTCCCCAGGCCCACGCACACGGGAGTCCTGCCGGTGCGGGCGGACAGCACCAGCCTTGCTCCGCAATCCACCCCTCACCAGGCCTGTGTGAGAAAGAACACAGGAACAGGTTAGAGTCTCCAGCCTTGGTTATTTCCTCATGTTCCTTCTGCCACACTGGTGGGAACTACTTTGCCTGGGATCCGTGTCTCCCACTGATCCCTCAGCTCCAAAAGGTGGGAATTGAAGTTTACCCCGGTGTCTTCCCCAGCTCTCTTGGCTCTTGGTTGAAGGACTGTTCATTGAGGCTGGGCTATAGATGAGATGACCCTCAGACCCAGTATTCAGTCTGGGTCCTGTGCTCTTAAGAGTCCGTTCCTGTTCTTAGCCTGTGTGCCTCTGCTCAGGGCTCCTTCTTCCTCTCCAGGATCTAGGCTTGGGTAAGCCAGGGGTGGGGGAGGTAGGGAACAAAATCCACATCCCTCGAACCCCTCCTCCAGACCAGCCCTTTACCTGGAGCACGGAGTTAGGTGGTCTGGGTTCCAATATCTGCTCTGCCCCCTAGCTGTGTGACTTTGGGCAAGATACTTAATCTCTCTGTGTCGATGTCCTTCTCTGTGAAATGGGGAGAAAGGCAGTACCTACCTCATGGTGACGTTATGGGGATTCAGAGTTAATATGTGTAGAATGCTCAGAACAAGAAATGGAACACATAAGTGCTATATTTAAAAATTTACCATTATTTAAGAACTATTAACATATAATTCTATTAGGTAAGCAATATCATTCTCATAGGTAAGGAAATAGCAGGTTCAGAGAGGTTAAATGACTCCCCCAGGGTCACAGGTTTGAAATTCAAGTGTTAGACTCCAGAGCCTAAGGCCCTTTAATTGTACCAGTGCATTCCGTGCCAGACACTAAGTCCACCTGCACCTCAGCTTGCTTTTCACTAAGTGGGTGGGTGGGTGGCGTAGCCGACCTTGGCGGAAGCTCTGCGCAGAGGCCCACCTGTCTGGCCCTTAACCCCCCAGATGGCCTACCAGGCGGTGGAAAAGAACGTTGCCCTGGGCGCCCTGGAGTCCGAGCTGGAGGAACGGCGCAGCAGGTACGGTGCGGGCGGGTGCCAGAGCGACTGCACCCACCTCCAAAAGGCTCGGGGCCATCTCTGCAGGGGAGGGAGGATACGATGATCTCGCGTGTCTCCAGCAGGGCCGGGCAGCTCTCCCCCGTCCCCAGACCTGAACCGCAGCACTCTGAGGGGATAGGCTAGGTGGGAGACTTGCCTTAGCCACTTGGCTGGCGCGTGGCCACGATCTGTCCCAGCTCTGAGACCGTCTCCCACCGGGCAATGACGTTGGCTCGCCCTCTGCTCCAGGCTGGCGGCTCTGGAGACTCAGGTGGCGCAGCTGCAGGAGGTGCGGGCACAGCAGATCCGACAGGTGGAAGCGCAGCGGACGCAGAACGTAGCCCAGCGGTTGGCCTACGAGGCGCTGCGCGTGCACCTGGGACTCCAGGAGGCGGCATTGCGCAGGCTCGAGGAGGAGGCGCGCGACCTGCTGGAGCGGCTTGTGCAGCGCAAGGCGCGCGCTGCTGCCGAGCGCAACCTGCGGAACGAGCGCCGCGAGAGGTGAGGGCGCTGGGTCTTGCGCCTCAAGGAGGAGAGCGGTTTTGCCGCCTGTTGGAGAGCGTCCCATCCTTTCCTTGGGGCGGGAACCCCGTGCACCTTTGTCAGGAGGCGGGTGTCCACCGCAGCCCTTGCAGGAAGGTGGCAGCGTTCCGCACCTGAATCCCATGATGTTTTTCTCCCCACAGGGCCAAGCAGGCACGGGTGTCCCAGGAGCTAAGGAAGGCTGCCAAGCGGACAGTGAGCATCAGCGAGTAAGAGCGGCGAGACGCCCAGAGCCTTTGATATTGGCTCTGACCCTTGTGTTCTGGAATGCCCTGCTTTTGGGCCGCTTCCTCCAATTCTACCTTGCCCCACAATTGCCTCGGGCCACCCATGCATCTGACAGCACGTGTGCACAATCACAGTAGGGAGGGGGCATGGAAACAGCCCACAGGACATAAGCAGACACGTGTGGTCATGGGAGCCAGCACGTGGGCTGTCACATGTGTGCCTATACAGATCCCTGCGGGGGCTGCATGTCTTCACCATGTGGGGCCTGGGGTCCCTTGGCATCCTGAGCTCCATTCCCTCTTCCAGGAGCCCAGACACCCCAGGCATTGGGACCAAGGAGAAGGCTGAGATGACTCTGACCGTGCCTGCTGAGCCACAATTTCTAGAGAATGAGGCTGGTGAGAAGTGGAAACGGCCCTTTAGGTGAGGACTGTCCCAGAGCTCTGAGTTGGGCCCCACCTGAGAGTCTTCCAATAGGACCTCGGCCCCGCTCTTGGGCTGAGAGAGGCCTTGGAGAGATGCTGGGGTATATATATAGCTCAGACCTCCTAGGACAGGTCTGACCTCCAGTGCCACCTTAGGAACCCCAACCCATGCCCTCACCCCTTTCTTTCATTCCCAGGACCAGATTTCTGGGGGTGGGGTGTCTGGCTGGTGAAGGGGTGTCACCAGGAGGGAACCTGTGGGCATGGCCCAGGGCTCAGCTGTCGCAGGCATGTGTATGCACACACAGGGATACGAGAGCGCACGAGTGTGCAGCCCTGGGTGAGCATGAATGGATGCATGTGAACATCCGAGCGTGTGTGGATGTGAGCTCACACTGTGGGACCTGACGGGGCCTTCGGTCCTTGTGCCCCTCCCCTCAGTCTGCCCGTCTGTCGCGGTTTGCCTGGCATTGACACTGCCCTTCCCTGCCCCGTCCCCTAGGCTGAAGGCTCTCCTCCAGCTCTTCTTTGCAGGTCACTGGTGTCCGGGCCTCAGGGCAGCGAAGGAACCTTGGGGAAGGGCGTGAGATGCTGGTCCCCAAAGCCCTCGGCAGCCCTGGTGGGCCAGTTCATCCCAGGACGCATCCCTGGGCATTTTTGAGGTCTCCGCAGGTCTCGGTTCTCCCATGCCCTGCCTCCAGCTGTGTGCTATCCCCGCCTGGGGGCACCCTCACCGCCACCCCTCCATAGGCCTCAGTTCAGCCTCCCAGGAACTTTGGTCATGGCAGGGAGCTGGGGTGATGAGGCAGTTCTTACCATCATGGTGAAAAACTGGGGGGACTTCGTTGCCAACTCCCTCTCTGCCTGCACCTTCATGGGACTGCTCTGGGCCGTGCCGCTCTCCTGGGCTCCAGGCGCCATGAGCCCCAGGGTCTCTGGCAGAGGAGGGTTGAATGACTGCTGTCTGCACACCCACCGTCTGGTCCCTTAGCATGTTTCTCTTGATTCTGCCCCAGGTCTGCCTCTGCCACCTCCCTGACACTGTCTCACTGTGTGGATATGATGAAGGGGCTTCTGGAGTAAGTGTGTGTGAAGGGGTAGGGCACCTTGGAGCCCTGTGGGCAGGTTCGGGGTACCCAGGCTTCATCTGTGTACGTGCCTCAGTCAGTCCATCTACGTGTTGTCCAGCAGCCTGTGTGAGACCCAGGGGTGCATGGCCTCATTTTCAGCTCCTGCTTGGCTAACCTCCAGGCTCTGTCCCTCATCCAGTTGTCTCATGGGGGACCAAGAGCTCCAGCCCTAGGCTGGATAGGAAATTCACTCAGTTGGGAAACAGGTTTAGAAATGTCAGGGACTTGCCCTGATTAGGCGGTTCAGTTGGTTGGAGCAGTGTCCCGTACACCAAAGGGCTGCAGGTTCAATATCTGGTCAGGGCACATCCCTGGGTTGCGGGTTTGATCCCTAGTTGGGGCATGTGTAGGAGGCAGCCAATCAATGTTTATCTTTCGCATCGATGTTTCTCTCTCTGTCTCTAAAATCAATAAACACATATCCTTGGGTAAGGGGGGGAAAAAAAAAAAAGAAATGTCAGGGACTCATTCAGGGTCACAGAGCCAAGCAGTGGCAAGGCCAGAGCTGAAACCTCAGCCCCAAGCTTTCTCCGCATCCACCGACTCTGCCCTGTCTCTGTGCCTTTTTCTGTGCTCCTCCTGTTTCCACACTGACCCCAGGGATCAGAGGCTGGGCTGGGGACTGTGCTTCCTGCACTTTCTGGCCATGTTCTGTTGCCTTCTGTGTCTGCTTTCTGTTGTCGCTGCCTCAGGGGGACTTGCGGCTCCCATATCAGAAGGCCTTCCCGAATGTCTTCCTTATCCCCCTCTTCCTCCAGTTTTAAGAAGAGGAGAGGACACTCAATTGGGGGAGTCCCTGAGCAGCGATACCAGAGCATCCCCGTGTGCGTAGCTGCCCGACTTCCTACCTGGGCTCAGGATGTGCTGGTAAGGAAGAGCTGGGCCCCATGTGGGGGTGCTGATAGGGGGGACGTGGGCCCCAAGAGTGGTCCAAGGCGGCCAGGAAAGCAGGGTGGGGCTCCTCAGGAACAGGAGTTTTCCTGCCACAGCTTGGGGTAGGAACCCCTCAGCTTTTTGTAATGGGGGCATGACTGCAGAGGGAGAGACAGGAGGCTGGGAGACCAGGAGACCATTCAGGGGAGTATGGGGTACCGTCGGGATGGCTGCTGCAGGGGTCCAGGCCGACAAGATGAAACACTATTGTGTGCACAGGTGCACGTGGGAGAGAGCCCATGAATGGGCACAAAGAGGCCTCTATGGCAAGGATCGGGGGCACCAACCTCCCCTTTTCCCCACAGGACGCCCACCTTTCTGAGGTCAATGCAGTTCGTTTTGGTCCCAATAGCAGCCTCCTGGCCACAGGAGGGGCTGACTGCCTCATCCACCTCTGGAATGTCGTGGGAGGTGAGGGTCCCTCCCCTGCAGGCCAACTCAGTGTTTTCTCCCCAGGCCCTACCCTCAGCTTGTTCCTTGGTGAGCAAAGGTCTTGACCTCTTTGTGTTCCCTCTCCTGGAACATTCTTGTGAGTGGTGGCCAGATGATCCCTTGGCAAGAGTTTTGGGCTCACTTCTCTGAAGAAAAGGGTAGAGCCTTCTAGCTCCTGGGGTCCAGGCTTGCAGGATGAGGGCGGTGGAGTTCAGAGGGCCTCTGTTAAGGAGAAGCAGGGGTTCCCTAGGCCACTTCCTCTGTTATCACTTGAACTTGCAGAACTCAGTGAGGAGACCAACATTGGCTAACTACCTTGGTTTCTGTAGAGGGGGGTGTGTTGGGAGGTCAGAGCTGGCTCCTGGAGGCTTCCTAGAGGAGGCAACTCTCTGGCTGGCCTGGTACTGGCTTGTGTGTGGCCTAGGGGCAGTCCCTCTTCTCTGGTCATCTTTAGTCCTGTAAAATGGCTGGCTATCCCCTGGGGCCAAGCAATTCTGTCCTCTAAATTGGGAAAAACTGATTTTCCCATTCCTGGTCCCAGCTCCTCATTTTTGTGAGGTTAGTGACCTCACTGTACCTGTTCCTTTCTCTGGTCCCCATCCCCCCAGGTCGCCTGGAGGCCAACCAAACCCTTGAAGGAGCTAGCGGAAGCATCACCAGCGTGGACTTTGACCCCTCGGTGAGGAGACTTTGCCCCGGTGGCAGGGGATGCTTCCCTCTCCTAGTCTCCACCCCAGGCAGGTGGAGGCCCTGGGACCCAAGAAACACATGGTTCTCTGGGCATCCTGGCACGGGGCCCTCAGGCTCCTACACAGTTGCTCCTCCCTGGGCCCAGAGGCTCCTCTGCTTGCCGGGGGCACCCGGGCTTTGGGGTGCTCCTGGGCAGCCCTGCCCCAGGCCTGTGGCCTGAGGGATGTGGCCTCTGGCCAGGTCCAGGTCCAGGACCTCTCCTACTCCCATCTCTCCAGGGCTCCCAGGTATTGGCAGCTACTTATAGTCGGGCCGCTCATCTCTGGAAGGTGGGAGAGGCACAGTCCAAGGTGAGGTCCGCCGGGGGGTCCGGGGTCATGTCTTGGGCCTAGAGGGGAGTGTGGTATTATGGAGTCTTGACCATGCCCTTGAATCCATATTTGTGATGGGGGGCAGGAGACATTGACTGGACACACAGACAAGGTGACAGCCGCCAAATTCAAGCTAACAAGGCACCAGGCGGTGACTGGGAGTCGAGACCGGACAGTGAAGGAGTGGGACCTCGGCCGTGCCTACTGTGAGGCCCAGCCCCCCACCCCACCACACATCCCCTCCCCACCCCCATGCTGGGCCGCGCCCTGGGCCTGCTTTCTGGGAGTAGTTCCAAAATTCACAGGCATTTGGGGTGAAACCTCCCAAGGCCCCTCCTTCTCTATCTCTCATGGTGCTTTCTCTTGTTTCTTGGAGATCGCAGACTTCGGGCTGGGAAGCAGGGGACTTAGGTTCTGGTTTTGGGAGGACACTGCCCCTCTGGGGCTTCTGGGCCTCAGCTTTCCATGTCTAGTGGGCTGATTCCTGACGACCCTTCTCTGAGGCTGGGGCTCTGCCCCTTGTTCCCTAGGCTCCAGGACCATCAATGTCTTTTCCTACTGTAACGATGTGGTGTGTGGAGACCACGTCATCATTAGCGGCCACAGCGACCAGAAGATCCGGTTCTGGGACAGCAGGTGACACGCGGGGGCTCTGTGTGGCAGAGGCACAGGGGCAGGGCTCCATCTTAGTGGCTCTCCTTCCAACCACTGGCCTCTGCCTGGGCTTGGCAACCGACACCCAGAAGCCCCCTTTCCCATTTAGTTACAACTTTTTAATCAAAAGGAACAGAAGTTTTGGTTGTGTTTTAAACCTAAGAGCCGCACATTGGGCTTGAATGGAAAATAAAAGCCTACAGTGGAGCCAGGGCCAGACCTGCCCCAGGCTTCTTCCTGGGCTGTGATTGCCATTTGCCAGCCTCCGTCTGTCACATATATAAAGACAGACTTCCATTGCTTTGCCTCTGGCATGTGTTTCTGGGACCCAAAGGTTTCAGGGGCTCCAGCTTTGGCTCCGGGTCAAGGGCTGCCTGCGCTCCTGTGGGAGAGGGCTGGCTGCAGTGGAGATTGGCCCCGTCAGCCTCGGCCCCAGGGTGCTGAGACCAGGGGCGCCTCTGGGCTTTGTTAGCCTGTCAGGAGTGGCCCTGTCAGGGGGAGCTGCTCCTCATGCCCTTCTCTGTCCTGGCTCCTCAGGGCCCCCCGCTGCACTCAGGTCATCCCCGTGCAGGGCCGGGTCACCTCCCTGAGCCTTAGCCACGATCATCTGCATCTGCTCAGCTGTTCCCGGGACAACACACTTAAGGTCATCGACGTGCGAGTCAGCAATATCCGCCAGGTGTTCAGGTACCTGCCTCCTGGCCACAGACCCTGTGGCTTTGGCTGGGGCAGCGGGACCTCTTGTCCCCTGTAAAAGGCTTGTCAGGGCCTGTCAGCGAGGAGCCCTCCCTGGAGGCCCGTCTGAGCCGGCGCCTGCTGAGGTGCCCAACCCCTGGGTGGAGAGAGGAATCTTTTGAAGTTCCTGGGTGCGGGCAGAGACTGGCGGCCACTCTGTTCTGACCCGACTCCATCTGTCTTCAGCGCTGATGGCTTCAAGTGCAGCTCTGACTGGACCAAAGCCGTGTTCAGGTGTGTCTGTGAGAGCACATGTCTGTGTCCAAGTGTGCCCCGTCTGACTGTGTCTCTGTGTCAGTTTGTGTGTCCTCGCCTCTGATCTCCTCTCTCTTGCTCTGCTGCGGCCGTTGCAGCCCAGACAGAAGCTACGCGTTGGCAGGTTCCGGGGATGGAGCCCTTTATATCTGGAACGTAGACACTGGGAAACTGGAGAGTAGCCTACGGGGACCCCACTGGTGAGCATGGCCACCCCCCACCTGCCCGCCCTAGCCTCAGGGCCGCTGCTGCCCCAGCCCTGTGCAGCCAGTTCCAGGTCCTGACGTGCTTGGGCCCTGCAGTTCCCAGCCCTTGTTTCCGTATCTTCCACCTCCCGGGGCCCCTCACAGTTCACAAGGTGCCTTTCCACATGCACTTGGGCCCCTCCTCATCATGCCCCGTAAGCCCATTTTATAGGTGAGGAAACAGGCTCAGAGACGGCCTCAAACTGCCTAGGAATGAGGGGCAGTGCCAGGCTGCAGGCCCAGCTCCTGACACCCCCTTGAAGCCCGGCCTTCCCTTTCCTCAGCGCTGCTGTGAATGCTGTGGCCTGGTGCTACTCTGGGAGCCACGTGGTGAGCGTGGACCAGGCCCGGAAGGCAGTGCTCTGGCGCTAGGGCATGATTTCCGTGGCCTGGGCTGGAGCTGTCGTCCGAAGCCTGAAGCCAGGAAGAGCTTCCCACTGCTCCTCTGAGCTGCAGGGCCACTGGGCCCCAGCGGGGTGTGGGCAGGGTGGGCGTGGCCTCAGGGCATCTAGTGGGGAGGAAGGCCTGGCGGGACCTGGCCTGTTTAAAAACAAAGTGTGGATTGGCGGCGGAGGGGTGGGGTGGGGGGGGGGGAATGGTATGTAGATTGTAGTACTTTTTGTTCATCTTTGTCTCTTCGCTTTTTCTGCCAAAAGTGGAAAAAAATTTGCATCTAAACGGGTGTCTGCTTGCCTCTTTGTGGCATTTAGGGAACAGAGAGAGAAGTCTTTGGGCTGGTGGCTCGAGGAAGCCCAGGCTTGGCCCCCTTCCCTCCTCCTATTCAGAGCTGGGCAGAGCCGGCCCGGCCTCCGTGCCTGAGCCCGAGGAGACAGCACGAAGAGAGGCCAAGGGCAGCACAGGGCAGTGGCGGTTGGAGCCACAGGAATTTCACCCTTGGTCCAAGCTGGTCCTGAGGCCAGACTAACACCTTGGGCCCTCCTCAGGCACCCAGGGTAGACTGAGGCTGAGGAGGGGCCATGGGAGTTTGAGGAGGGAGGAGGGAAGGCAGCACAGAAGGGCCTCATTGGAAAGGGCTCTAACAAACTGGAGAGTGATGTCCAGTACTTGTTACACCAGGCCTGCCTTTAGATGAGCCAAGCTCTTGTTCCAGAGGCAGAGCTGGAGTGGGCGGGGAGTGGCCGCTGTGTGTCTGTGAGTCTTGGAGGGCGGCAGGAGATGGGGCTTGGGCCTGGGCCTTCGCTTACATCAGCACCAAATTTAATCTGCACAACAAGGCTCTGCGGGGCAAGGCAGACCCAACAGGGCGGAGCCTGGGCACCTGCTTCCTTCGCCAACCTGGGGCCCGTGGAGGAGTCCGCAGCATGGCCGTTGTCCTGAGTGATGGGGGCTGACCTCTGGGGACTTGCTCAGCTGCGAGTCAAAGGCTTCAGTCCAGAACTGCCAGCCTCCTTCTTTATCATCTTACAGCCTCCCTGGGGGATCATTGCCAGTGCCAGGGTTTTGGAATCCACCTCCAGGCTGTGCAGCAGAGAGCCAAGAGCCTGGACTCTGCAGCCAGACTGTCTGGGTGTGAATCTCAGCTCCACTGTTTAGTGGCTGAGTGATTTTGAGCAAGTTACTTAATGTCTTTGTGCCTGAGTTTCTTTCTGTGTAAAACGGGATGACAGTATACACCTCAACGATTGTTGTAAAGCTCCCGGCACGTGTCAAAGGCTGTGTGAGTGTTGATTAAATACCCAAACCTGCTGACTCCAAGATCTCTCACTGCTCTTGGCCTCCCAGTTGTCCCTTGAGCTCTAGGTGACCCCAGCTGCCTCCTCGGCCTCATCTCTGCCGACGAAGCAAGCTCCTCCTCCCCTCGCACTGCGCACCCTCTCAGCACGCAGTAGGCCACCGTGTCTCCTCTCCAGTACTGCTGCCACTGCAGGCCACCTTCTAGACCTGCTTTCACCCCACTTAGTCCCCTCGTTGCCATCATAACTGTCTAAGGTGTCATGGTCACACGTTTAACCACTTGGAGTTCCCCCGCTGCCTCTAGGGATGGACTTCAAAGCCTTCGGAGCTGCCCTGCTGGCCTCAGCTGCATCTTCATTTCCTTGCTAGTCTGAATGTGTCTTGCATGTAATTTTCCCTCTACTCAGTGTGTTCTTCCCTCCCAGCCCCAATTCAAATCCGCCCTTCGGGATTCCCTCCCTGGGAGCTCTCCCTCCTTTGCCAGGCTGGCCAGGGGCCTCCTCCAGCCTGTGCCCCTCCCTGTTTGTGTCTGCCTCCCTCCGTTTTCGGCAGAGAACTCTGGGAGGAAGCCGGGATGGATAACCAGGTATTTCCTGGTTATCAGGCCTGGCACAGAGAAAGCCTCAGGTAATGTGTAAGTGGCTAAATTCCCCTGCTCAAGGACTCTGCAAGTGAAGCAGTTGAAGACACTAGGAGTCCAGCGTTCTAAGATTAATGAAGGCCTAGCAGCCCTCATGCCCTGACTCCTGGTGGCCACCAGGAGGCACCAGCTGCCTAGTATCTGCTGAGGCCATTCTCTGTCCTGGGAGCTGTGGCCGGAAAAACCAGCGCTTCCAGTAGCCTCCATGCCAGTGCTTGCCTCTGCCAGGCCCGGTGCTCTGCGCTCCCCCTGCAGTATCTCTGTTCCTTCCGACCACCTTGTGATGTAGGTGTGTCTTTCACAGGTAAGAAAATCGAGGCTCTGAGGTTAAGTGATGTGAGATCAGAGAGCTGGCCCAGCTGGGTGGTGACGATTACATTTTAAAACAAGAAATGTAGAACCCTGGCTCTAGTTAGGCAGAGCCGCTTGGCGCCCCGTGCCCCTGCCAGGGGCGAGTCTTGCTGTATGCCCAGCCTAAATCCCTTCCCGCATCTCTTCCATCTGGGCCCTGGGCCTGAGCTTGGAAGGTTAGTGTCTTTTGAAGTAAGGGACAGGCAGGGCCACAGGAGTAAGGCGAACAGGAGGCTGTCACCAGCTCCCCCATTTGGGGCAAGCACCTCACAAGACTGCAGTGAAGGCTGCTCAGAGAACCTGGAAAAGGTGCTTGGAAAAGGATTTGACTAGACTCTGGGAACAGAGACCCCTCCCCTCCCCCTAAGCTGCCTCTTCACGGGCCAGGTCTGGTAACACCCTCTGGGGGGGCAGTTGCCTTACCTCGGGGAGCCCACACCTTAACTCACTTGGAAGGAATGCCTCCTGGGGGAGCCAGAGACAGGCCGAGGCACAAGAGGGGCGAGGTGGGCCTGGAAAAAGGGGCGGGCAGAGGCCGAGTGGGGCAAATGCTCGGAGCTGCTGCTGCCACTGTCCCACCGGGGAGGCTGTGCCTCCGCAGTCCCTGTTCAGCGGGGCTTGGGGAGGAACCCTGTTGCTGAACATGGATCCGGGCTTTCACTCGCTGGTACTTAGGTGTTCAGTGTCGAGCACTCTCCAGGCTTTTAGTACTCAGGTGCTCAGGCTGCTTCCCAGAGAGGAGGCCGGGTCTTGCACGGGGTCACCTTGCAGAGCTGGGATAAGAACCCAGGCCTCGGATTCCGTTTTCTGAAAACTGGATTCAGGTTCTGCATAGAAGGGCTGGCCTGGTCTTCTCGAGGTTCGATTCTAGGTTCTGCTCCCAGTTGCCTGCCTGAGGCCCTGGGTGAATCGCTGTCTTCTAGGGTAAGGAGTCTCCTCATCTGTGAGTCTCCCTGCCGCCTTGGCTCTGGGCCTCGCCCAAGGTGACCCAGCTCCTTGCTGGGGCTGTTCTGCCTGCCCTGCCTGATCCCAGACCTTAGGAGCCTGAGACCGGAGAGGGAGAAACCCTAGTTTGGGCTCCTACTACCCCTCCGTCCTCTTCCTGTCCTGGGAGGCACCTTGGCTTGAGTCTGCTGTTCCTGAGCCTCCCCCCCCAGAGGTGAGCCCCTGGGTGATGGGTGAATATGAGTCATTTGTGTCACCAGTGCCCAGAACATGGCCTGGAGCAGCAAGTTTGCTGATGGGACAAATGGCAGTTGGATAGTGGTAGTCCCAGTGCCTAAGATGTTCTCTGGAGGAATCCTGGCGGCACCAGGCACGGACCCACCTGAGACTCAGACCACGTTGGTGCGGCCGTTTTCTTTCTCTGGATGCACACCCACTAGTGACTTTTTTTTCAGCTTATCTGTACATTATCTTAGTAGATCCTCCTGGATCTCAGGAAGTTTGTACTATCTTTTCATCCTCACAGATGTGGAAGGCCCAGAAAGGTGAGAGGATGGGCCTAAATTCACAGCTCATTGAGGTGGCCCAGGGACATGAATACAGGGAGTTTGATCTGCTCTTCCCTGCCCCTCACAGGAGCCAAGTAGGTGTAAGAATGAGGATGCTTAGGTGTTTGGCACACAATGTGGAAAGGACGTGGGTTCACTTCTGTTGTTTCTGGATAATATTCCAGAAAAACATTCCCAGACCAGAGCTCTCTGAAACAGACACGGCAGAAGTACATTTGTTTTTTGGCCAGTGGGACCAGAAAAATGGTCCAGGAACAAGATGCTCTTTGGCATTCACAGGGTTCTTGGCACATCAAGCAGGAGCAGAGCAAACACAGGGAGAGTCTAGGAAGAAATATACTGGTTGTGTCAAGTTGTAGGATTTTGGGACAAATGATAATCCCTTAACTAAAATGGCTGTAACTTGTATTTTTTTCATGAAAAACTGAATAATGAGCAAAATAAACACACAGATTCAGAACAGCCAGATTTTGTCATAAAGCCACTCAGACAGGGTTAGGCGGTTATTGGCCTCACACCAAAAGCTATGGCTGGGCTCCTTGGGCAGCAAGTAAACAGCTGAGTGCAGCCTGGGATGTGATCACAACCTGGAAGACGAGGGTTTGCTTTGTGCCAGGGGACAGTCCAGTGGCTTGGGTTTTATTGCCAATTTCTGGCCATCCTGAGAAGTTTGTGTACATCAGTTCGTTCTCAAATATTGCAGCGTCTTTGTGTGATGTTCTCATTCTGCATCTAGGGTGAACTTATCTAGAACATTAAGAGTTGAGTAAGTCCTTTTTGGCCATCTGATTTTATTCCTTTCAAAGCTCGGGATGTGGCAGCTCAGAGAGAAAGGTCACCCATTGAGTGGCAGCAGGGCAAAGGCCAGATAACAGCCTCTCACCTGCATCTGTCTGGCTCGTGCACGTGGGCTGGGCTGGAGGGTCTGAGAGGAAAGGGATCTAGGTGACATGCTGTGAATATGACTTGATTCCACTAGTTAGCTTCTGTGATGGAGGGGGACAAAATGTAGCTATGACATTGGGGGTGGGGCATTAGCTTAACTCTGTTCCTGGGTCACAGACTAAGCCTCTGATGCCAACAGCAGTCTCAAATGTGAGCAGCTTTCCTTAGCAGGGGAAGGCAGAAGATGGCAGTGATATTTAAGGCGCACTGACAGCCCTTCTCATATTTACGGTGGAGCACTTTCCCACACTCATCTCCCCTTGGACCTCACGACAACCCTGTTATCGAGGTTGGAGGAGCAGTGAGGACCCTGGTTTTGAAGGAGAGGCTGCCGAATGTGGAAGAGGTGATGATAAGGAACGTTTGTGGTGACTGCCCTGTGCCGCTCACTTCGTGTGCCCTGGATCCACGGTATTCCTCTCAGGTGTCCGATGAGAATGCCGATGCTGTCAAGTGGGAGCCAGGATTTCACTCAGACCTTCTGACTCCAAAGTTCATGTTCCATCGCCTATGCTGTTGGAGGGAGTGTCAGTGGATGCGATCATTTTAGAGGCCAATTTGGCAAAAGTCTAAAAACATTAAATATACACATACCTTTTTGACTCTCAAATTACATATTTAGAAATTTACCCACTATTTTTACTGGAACAATAAAGAATTATGTAGAGATGTTAATTTCAACTTTCTAATAGTAAATGAATGGGTACAACCTACACATTCATCACTACAGGACTGTTTAAATATGCCCGAATAATGGAATACAATGTAGCCTCCAAAAAGAAAGAGGTAAACCTAAATGTATTTTACAGTTCCACTTATATAAAAAAGCAATGTGTCTACGTATGAGTTTTATGCCCACAGAACACCTGGGAGAACACCCCTCGCACGCATGCAGCTCTGGGAAGCGGAGAGCTGAGGGGCCTCTCTGCAAACATGCTGAGCCCTGGGCCTCAGTGTGGCCGACCAGCCGTCAGAGGGACTTGGCCCTTCACTAGGGATCTGTCCACCCCTTGGACCAGTAAAGTCTCCTTTGCTTGATTCATCACTCCTTAGGGAGGAGGTTGAGGAAATGGCAGGAGTCCAGAATTCCCCCTTCCTAGAAGCCAGCAGTAACATCCCCTGAGGGGGCGTCAGTGGCCTTCCTCTCATCTCTCCAACTGCAGAATCGGCTCTATGCTCAGCTCCCTCAGCATGCTGTCCTCTCCAGCACATGTTCGTGTGTACCTGTCCTCCTCCTGCCTGAAAAGAACCTTGAAAGCAAAGGTCACACTTACGTACTATTATCTCTAGTATCCAGAATGTTATGCCTGGCAGGTGGGTGGCATCGGGGACCATTTTTCCCATGGATGGATTAATTTATTTCCCCTTCTCTGCATCCACTGTATGGTTAAAAGGAGGGCCCAGAAGTGTCTCTTTATGAGAAGCTTTGTCTGTTTGGAAAAGTCTGTTTACTCAAGTCTTTTTGTAAGTAAACTTAGAAAACGTAATTCCATTTTTTTTATTACTCAACATTTTATACATAATAAATACAAACTTTGTACAGCCACTGTAAAGGAAGCGCACCTGCACACAGGCACGCCCACTGGGCTGGCCCGCGCACCGGGACGCTGGGTTCCATGTCCTGGAGGGAGGGGTTCTTTTTAAAAAGGAGGCTTATTTTTACAACTTTGTTTTTTTTAAAATAAAATTAGCAGCTCTTCAAAAAAATATTTAAAATATAACAAAAAATTTCAAATAACCCTCTCAGAATGTGGAAAACTCAGATTCAAGGACAATTTGGCTAGCTAAAGAGAACACAAGGCTGGGTGGCAAGATCTGCCTAATTTAAGCACTTTGAAGATTTTTAAAGTGCCTTACAGATGTTTAACATGTAGACAAACTTAAACTCTTAAAAAATCACCCTTTTAATTAATTTTTTTAAACTTAAGAATAAGTTTGATAATGAAAAAGACCTCAAATAGATCAACAGGTTAAGAAATGCAAAAACAACAAAAAAACAAAAACGAAAAGGAAACCCAAAACCCCAAATCACAGAGAAGATTCATCAATGGGTATTGTCACTGAAATGATCAACTGATGAACTGAAAATTTCTTCAGCTATGACCTTAAAAAAATCCCATGGGGACATTTGGCGAGCATTTCAAGTTTTCAGGGTGGTAGGAGGGATCATGTTTTCAAAGCATAATACAACTTTTAGATTAAATTCTGCATATTTGATTTCTTAAAAAAAAAAAAAAAGCCACTGGCAAATATCCCTTGGTTGCTAGGTAATGCATTCCCTGTCTTCCATAGGAGGTGGGGAGCCCACACAGGCCGACTCCGGGACACCCGCTGCGGTGGGCTTGCTCGCCCGTGGGAGGGTTACCCCCGGCTCGCTCCACGATGTGCAGAACTTGTCTTTTCCTCATCCGTTTGCACTTGTGCAGGGCGTGCAATCCTTTAGTCCTTTTTCACAGGAAGCTGGTTTCCTCCATGAGCCACAGGTTCTTCCTCCCAAGGACAGGTCAGGTCAGTGGGACCTGGGAAGCTGCGTTTTCCATTGGGGCTGACCGCTGCTCTGGACCCGTCAACAGCCCGGCTGGCTGGGCCAGTATACTGGCTTGGGAACAAAATGATGCTAGGGGCTCTCCAGTAGACGTGCTCAACAAGGCAAGTATGTGTCCCCAATTTATCTAGACATTCAAATTCTGAGGATATCGGTCAGAAGACTATGTGCTGCAAATATTAAGCCGAGAAATACCCAAATACAATAAGAACATTAAATCGGCTTACTTCAGATCTGGAAGTTCCATTTCTGCTTTAGCCGCAGCCTCCTTTCTATTAGTCTATGTGATGGACGAGATTTGGCTACTAGTTCAGCCCCTCCAGATTAGCTTCACTAATACTAAATGAATGGCATAAATATTAATACAAAAGACACTGTTATTGTTTTAGATCTGTTAGTTGTGGAAGAGATGTGCATTAATGCAATTGGCGCTAAACTCAGGGCAGTCCACTTGTTTCCGCTAAGGTTCCACTTTCTCAGTCCCGGGACTAACTGCGGGGAGGAGCCAGCCTCCCTGAAATCCCTCCTCCTGCTTCCTATGTAGCCAACATGATCTGATTAACTTTAATCAGATGAGCAAAAGCCACTTGCAGATGAGAATCTTTGCCACATCCTGTGGCCACAGTAATATACTGTACGAGTGCACATGATCAGTATCTCTGTGACTGTGCCTTGAAGGAGGCCTGGTCTTGAGTCTCATATAAAAATGGGCCACTGTTAGGCACGAGGGCTGTTCCCCTCTGTTTCAAGGGCCCACTAGGATTTGTGCTATGGTAGGAGAGATGACATAGAAAATGACAACAAAAAAAGGCACAAAATATTCAAAATGTGGGAGGAGTCCACCAGGCCACCCGGTCACAAACAATCCTCCTGGGTTTGCTCTGCTTAAGAGTCATCATCATGCAAAGGTGCCTAAAAAAGCAAGACTGGCCACACTCCAAGCCTGGCCTTGATTGTAGCAGTGACAGACGGGCAAACCCATCATCACACCAGTGTGATTTCCACGTCCTCGATCTTCTCTGCTGGCCTTCGGTGGTTCTGCGTAGGCGGAGGGGGCGCTGCCCGGACCTGAGCAGGAAACAAGTGCACAAATTGTCAGCTTCCAAATTTAGTGCCTGAATGAAGCATTCAAACCCCATCTGGTCATTCATCCAAGGACATGGGCCCCCAGGAGTCTCAGAAATGCTCTGAGGATGTCTTTCTACCTAATTTTCACTCCTTCCCACACTGAGAATGTTACTGCTCTGGATGACATGTGACACCCACAAATCAGGTTCTTGCCTGGGCCGAAAGCCTCATGGGCACAAGAGGGGCTAAGGCCCTAAAAGCCTGGTCCACAGCACAGGCCTGGAGTTGGAAGTGAGAGCAGTGCTTGGAGAGCTGAAAACCTTGGAGCATGTCTTGGAAGGAGAGCTGCAAGAGAGAACACTAGAGAAGGAGGCTGGGAATAGTCATGAAATCTGAGCTTTATTCTGTAGGCAGGAGAGTCCTTGGTAGATTTTAAACAGCATTATCAGATGGGTGAAAATGAGTTAGGTAACAGTTTGGAGAAAAGAGTGGAGGTGGGCAAAGGTATAGATAAGACAACTTAGCAGATTCCTGTGGTCATTAGAATGCAAGTTACTGTTAGCAGGAACTGGCGCCGGCAGTGCGGAGTAGAGAAGTGGAAATATTGACAGCTGTCTCTGAGGGAAACTTGGCAGGATTTGGTGACAACTGTGAGAGACGAGAGCACTGGGAGGGAGGATAATGAACTCACTTTTGGTGAGTTCTGGGGGCATGGCACATACTCATCGAGATGTCCGCAAGTCTGGAGCTCAGGGAAGAGATCAGATTGGCAGTTATAAGTCTGGGAGTAGTCAGTAAATAGTTATCAAAGCTGTGGCAGTAGATGAGATTACACAAGGAGAGGGAGTTTAATGACTCCAAGAGAAGCAGCCCACGGACAGAACCCTAAGAAGCATTAGCAGAGATGGAAAGCGGCACAGAAGCGTGCAAAAGCCAATGGGAAGGAAGAGCCAGAGAGGTAGAGAGCGAACTGGGAAAGGCTGGTGCGACACACGGGCCCACTTTTCTCCAGTGCCTTTTCCCACAAGTCCGGATGCTACCACCTCCCCTGCCTGGACCACTGCTCCAGCCTCTTCATGGCTCCCCAAGTCCATTCCGCCACCTTCCATTCATTCCCCTCTTAGGTGCCATCATAATGTTTTCACATGCAAAACTAGTCATATCACTGTCCTGCTTATAACCTTACAATTGGCCTCCTATCACATTTAGGATGAAGAACCAAGTCCTTTACAAGGCTCTCAGTACACATCTGCTGAATGAACAAACAAAAGGAAGTGAGCGGCTTGAGGAGTACTGTCAAATGCTGATAAGGGGGTCCAGGAAAACAGAATTGCTAAGTGCGCACCGTATCAGCATGTGAAAGTTATGACCCGGGAAGAGCAAGAGGAGCCTCACAGTGAGGGGGGGTGGGCGGGGACGGAAGAGTAAGCAGAGTAGATTTTCCTTGCGAACAGAAGCTTTCAAACCTCAAAAGGGCATGAAGTGTATCTTATCTAACTTCAGCATCCCTTGAAGGCACAAATGTAGGCCTGGAAAATAGGTTCTCAATAAATGCTTGCTGAAAAAACTGTGCTTCTGTTTCACATTTAGATCACTTTAATGTTCACAGAGCTTGTTACAATTTAAATACACTTTCACAGCTATCATCGTGAATCTCACCTTGACTCAGAAAAAAGCACCAGTTGTAGCCTGGACCTTCCTTTATTTTTATACTCTTCCTTTTCAAGAGCTCTTTTTACCTTCCCCAACCCACCTCACCCTCGCACGGGGGAAGCAGCAACAACACAGGGGCCTTGGGGAAATGCTAATTTCTAAATTCAATGTGGAAGAACCATGCATTCCACAGCCCTGCCAGGTAAGAGCCTTACAGGTCGCAGTTTGCCATGTGAGGTCTCAGGAGCAGGCCTTGGTGCCTGTGGGCATCCTGGCGATTCGGCATGGAAGCTGTTTTCTAAGGGAGAGAACCAAAGAAGACTCATTTTACTTGTGGCGCTGAGCAATGAGAAGAACGCTAGTGCGGGTCTGTCTGCTCTTCAGGTGAACAGGTGGATTTCTGAATGAAAATCCATTCTGACCCATGTCCAGGAGAACCCTTACCATTTGCTGAAGGAGAGCGGGGGAAGTACTGGGAGCTCCTCTTATCTGGGCTGGGGTAGGGGCTGCTGGGAGGCTGGTCATACAGCGGCAGAGGAGGCAGGGAGCCGGGCGGCTTGGGGGATGGAGAGATCTGCCGTAAAGGGAAGGAGGTTACAAGGTGCTCACCTCAGGAAGGTCAGGCTAGCTGGCTTCTCTGACTAATGAGGACAAGCTGCTTTGCTCTGGAGCTAAGTTATGACTGTTGACATTTTTTTGTCAGACTTGTTAAAAGCACACGAGCCTAGACTGACCACGCCAAACCTCAGTTTTGTATTGCATTTAACGTTTTGCTCTCACAGATCTCATTATACCACTGATTATAGTTCATCTTAAACAGTTATCAAGTCAGAGTTCTCTAGAGTTCTACGAAAAACATACAAAATTAGTCAAGTCAGTAAATTCAGTGAAGAACAAAAAGGGGACAAGTTATATATTTTTTGTGTGAAAAATAAAATAATTGGCTGAGTTTCTGACGGTTTTATAAATGTCAGGCTAAGTGGTCACAATGCCACACAAACAAGACATGTTCCTTATGGTCCTGGACCTACCAGGCCTGCTGTGACAGATCCGAATTCAGGGTTTCCTGGAAAGGCGGGCTTTGTTATGATGAGCTCCGCTCAGGGCCACATGAGTATTATGGGGCTCTGGCAGGCTCATCAAGTCTCTGAAAACGGATGGGCACGACCTGGGCCGGCAGGGAGGCTCTGACAGCGAGGGGAGAGGAGTAAGCTAAAAATTTTACTACATAAACTAATCACAGTGACAACACATTCCCGCCTTTTGTTTGTTTCTGTTCCTCCACCAAACGATTCTTCCGTACGTCACATACAATTTAGCATTTTGGTTAGTGGATTCAGAGAGCAGAATGTGGGACAGGAGAGGTCCGACACAGCTATCATACAAGACCCCGACCAGAGTCCCCGCTTCCCCAAACTCCGTTTTGCAGAAACCTGGCCTATGAGGGCTGGAGTGGTGAGGGTGAGACCACAGCCCCGTCGTGTGTGGGTCACCTGGCCCCTCGGGACTCGTTTCCTTTAAATACCTTAAATCAGCTCTCTCCCTCCTCACGTACCTGGATCTCTCTCACCCACGGAGGGTCGCCATTTTCTGAGGCTGAGAGCTCTTCCACTAGCACCGATGGGAAAACGCCAATTCGTCCACTGAATTCCCCCTCCCAGAAGCCATCATCATCCTGGTTTTCTTTGTTCAAGATTCTGATGATTGCTCCCTCAGGAAAAGATAATTCATCATCTGTCTGACCCTCGTAGTCATAAAGTGCTTTCACGAAACAGACTAGGTAGCAAGAGAGAGAAAAATGCGGTCAGCACGATGACAGCCGGGTTACTTTCGCAACCACCCCCTATGCTCATGCGACAACTGAACGAGCACTGCACAGAGTAAGAGTAAAGCTGTAATATTTTTAGTCACTAAAGCTCAACTTTAGGGTTCTACTGTAAAGGACGAATGGGACCGAATAAAGGAAAACGCGTGTTACACGACAGGAATAGAGCTGTGGTCTTTAACGTCCTGAAGGCTGACTCCAGGGAATACAGTGTGGGCCAACCGTGACCAAATAAAGAGCGCCTTGTTTCAGTCTTTACCACTGGCATCTCCGTTGAGGCTGCCTGAGACGAGTTCGGCCTCCGTGGAATTGCTGGATGTGTGTGACCGACTGTCCAAAGCAGCCAGCGACTGCAGCATGCTCAGCAGACTGTTCGAGGTGGGAAACTGCAGGTACTTTTCTGGCACATACCCCACTTGACCAACTTTATTTCGAGCCTGAGTAAAAGACACGTGACAAAACAGGTTTGCACACCCAATCTGGATAGGACATAACAAGAACCAAAACACTCCTACAAATGTCACAAGAAGGGGTGATATGAGCAAAGGAATATACCTTTACCCAGTCTTCCATATCTCCATCTTCAATCACTTCTAACACCTCATGTTCCTCAATGGTCAACTCATCTGGTTGAGAAGCCTGCAATGTAGGATGGTCATGGACAAAATTAAAAAGGTTAGATAAAGAGCAGATGTGAGCTGATCATAACAAAAACTGGGGATCAAAACACTGAAATGATTTTGAAGATGTACTGAACGTAAAAATGGGAGTGTCGTAAAACGATCATAACGAGGTGAAGTTTTACTTTAAAAAACTAAACAAAATAGAGCCACAACCAAAACTGGAGGAACAGGCTCCTGAGGAGGCCGTCAGGTCCAGCGGGCACCGCAGACCCCTGGAAGAAGAGGAGCGAGCGGGGCTCCAGCTCCAGCTTCCGAATCTACTGCCGAGTCATTCAACTTCTTCATGCCTCCATTTCTTTAAAATGACAACGCTGCCATTCTCAGGAGGATTGGGGAGGCAGTGTGGGATGAACAAGCACAGAGCCATGATGAAGTGGGAAGCCCAGGCAAAGGAGAAAGCACTGAATTAGAACCGCACCAGAGGGCCACCATGGAGTGCGCGCTGTGAAATGCAAGGAACTATGTGCATGAGCGGGATGACGGCTGGGGCAGCGCCTAGAATTCACCTGGAACCACCGGAAAACAGTGGCCAAGAGAAGAAAGTTGTAGGAAACAAAATGATTGAGATTTGTCAAAATTTGGATTTGTTATACTCCCAACTTAACCGTGGAGACTGGACTGATGCCCAGGCCGCTGACTGTGCCCTTTGTTACCCCTGACAGCGGGGTTCACCAGCACCGCCACCTGGGGACTGCGGCGTCTGAGGGCAAACCCGTGGGGGCTCTGCAGAGGGGCCGCAGGGAGACTAGGTGGCTCTGTTTCCTGCAGGGACCTGCTCATCGCCGTACACAGGGAGGGGCCTGCTGGCCTCTTCTTCCCCTCTAGCAAGCAGTCTTAAAAGCTCCCCTCAAGCCCCAAGATCAGTTAAAACTATCACCTGAGTCCATGTAGTTTTTCAGATCTTATAGTCTCAGTGTGTGAAATATCTCCAAGTTACACAAGCAAAAACAAGGCAAGAAAACGGGTACTTTCCTAAGACTCATTTTCCATTTCATGGGCATTATAACATTTAATCAAACCCGGATTCTGGACATTGCTTTAGACAGAACAATAGTATTGAAAATGGCTCACCAATCACAGAAAATATTTACTCTTGGACCAGAATGTTAAGTAAATTACCTCTGACCTCAAAATATTAGGGAAAAACTCCCTGGTTCTCAATAACTTTTCCAATGTTAATTTCTTTGCTAATCTGAAACCACACTATGCCTTGAGTATACCAGCAAAAGGCACCTGTATAACAAAGATATTTTTCCTAATTCCATGGCAAGACGTAAAAAGTACCAATACAACCAGACTTCAGTGTGTGTGAGAGCAAAGCAGGAAAGAACACATTTAAATATGTTGCTGTCCTTTTAAAAAAGTCACGAAGGTCCACACAAATTGTCCAATACTGTTATATAAGCAGATGCTATCTTGATCACACCACCCTCAAGCAGTAACCAATTCTTCCACCTGAAAAGGTCAGGTCCTTTGCACAGCACTCAAGACCCTATGGAGTCTGGTCCCCATGGTCTCTTGATGTTCTGGTCCGAATACACTATCTCCTCTTATCTGAACACACCACGTCTTCCTTGCCTCTGTGCTTTTACCAGGCCGTTCAGTCTTTCCAGCAGGCCCTACTCCCTCTTTCCCTTCTGGCGAATGGGTTTAGATTACTGGGAGTTCAAGTACAACTTCAGCCTGTTTCTATGGGAAAGTGACCATCAGACCTCTCTGAACTCCAGTTTTCTTTTTATTTCTATTAGAATGTAAGCTTCATGAGGGCACAGATTTTCCTCTGTGTTGATCAATGCTCTATCCTCAGGCCTAGTTCTCCAGGTATATGGAAGGTGCTCAAGTCATATTTGTTGAATTAATGGGTTAGTTGATAATATCTTCCTTATAGGGACTGAGGGATTAGAAAAAAATTTATGGTACCAGGCACACATTACTTCATAAATGGTAGTGATTATTATTATTCACGATTTGAGGCCCAGCTCCTGCCTTCCCAGGCTACCCGCAAGGAGCTGGCTGCTCCCTTCTACTCTCGTTCTTACAAGAACGCATCCCTCTAACACTGATTACCGTGGTACTCTGGTTAGTTGTTTGCCCTTGTGGATTTCCTACCAGAATGACTTACTGAAAGGGAATGTAATTCTTTTCACCCCAGCCAAAGACAGCAAGTGTTGGTAAATAGTTTTAAATAAAGACATGGTCTCCCACTGCCTTCTGAAGTCCTAATATCTAGTGACTGCCAGAACTCCAGCAGCAGCCTGCCCTCAATTATGCTGACTGTCTCTGTAAATGTCGTGTTTTCTTTTAAAATTATGCTTTTTCCTGAAAATAAAAGTAACGTATGTCATTGCTGGAAATGGGCATAATTGAGATTTTAAGGTACATACAATCTCCTTCTTTTGTCATAACACAGCATTTCTTCTTACATAAAAACTACTGTAATTTTGAATTAATATTTTGAATCTTAATATTTTGTTATTGTTACATTATTTGAATAGTTATCAGTGTTTTTAAGGCTTTTGAATCTGTTCCTTAAACAGCTTTTCTTTATTTTCACAAGATGAATGCGGGCCTTTTTTGCTGGTCTAGACTAGAGGAATCACTATGAGGCTAACAGTTAGTCTCTCTTTATTCTAATCCATCCTCTAGAGTATCTTTATGAGGACCAGGGTTACCTTCTTAAAAGCCCAATCTGACTTTAGGACATCCAATGGTTCCTCCCAGACAGGATAAAAGGCAAACCTCAGTCTGGTCTACAGGCCCTTTACTACTTGCCAGCAAATGTCTTTACTTCCAGCTGCTCTACTCCCCACCCTAGATGCTCACGCAGCACTGAATTTCCCAAACACCCACACCCCCATCACACTGTGTCTGTCTCTATTGCTCTTTTTTGCTGAGAGGGCTCCTCCCATTCCCTCCCTTCTCACTGTACCTAGGAAGATCTTATCCATGACCTAATTTAAATGCCATTTCATCTGTAAAATTTCTCCCTACCATCACAGGAAGAATTAGCGGTTTCACCTCTACTATAAATGTTTTCATACATATTCTGTTTTTTTCAGTTTCATAATCACTTCCCCCAGACTATCCATTGCTGGGGGGCAGTGATTATGTCACATTCATTCTTGCATCCCCAAAACTTATCACAAAATGGGCTCCCAATAAATGCTCAGTGATTAACTGATTACATAGACGTGCCTGGGATATGCCGATAGAGGGAATGGGGGGTGAATGGGGGGTCTGTGTAATCACTCAGACACGTAGGGCCCTTCTCCATTTAAGGATCTTAAATTTCAATTCTGGAACTTGAAAGTAAATATACTATTGAGAGGTGAGAGGGAAAACATTCCCAGAGCTAGTTTTATACAATATTCTATAACAACTTTTCAAGTGTCTCAGAAGGTGACTTCAAATTTTCAAAAGATTATCAAAATAGTGTACATTGAATTTAAATATATAATAAAAGGATGCTAAACTAAAAAGTCGGGAAATTGCCAATATCGATGTGTAAATACTGCCAACTTTTGGCTCTCCGGCGACCGGGATGGTAGGAGTGAAGCTGCCCTGTGTTTTGACTGCTGAAGATTCTCTCCAGACCCATCCTCTGCTGTTGTCCTTTAAGCATCAGCATGCAAGCCAGGGGAGGGTTCATTTGTTCATTCCTTTCTTATATCATTCATCCTTCCCAATATTATTTACTGAGTACTTACTATGTGCCGGGCACTGTCCTCTGTGCTGGAGACACATACACAAGCTTTACCAGCTCAGACAAGGTGTCTGCCTCCATGAACTTTTAGTGGGGAGCCAGACAAAGAAGTATGAAAACAAACATGCTTAAATGTAGCTGGTGTAGAGTGCTGTGCAGTAAGTGAAAGAGGGCAAAGGGCAATGGGCTGTGAGTAGTGACTGAGGAGTTAGTGGTGTATTTAGGTGGTCAGGGGAGCCCAGGGAGGCCCTCTTGGAGCTGAGCCTCAAGGAATAGCAGTGGGCAGCCAAACATGATTTGGGGAAAGACAGTTCCAGGTAAAGGGAACAGGAAGTGTAAAGTTGTCATGTCAGGAAGGAGCCTGGTGTCCTTGAAGACTGAAAAGTGGCTAATGCATAGTGAGTGGGTGGGTTAGGTCGGGGAGGGTCTGTCATGAAGCTTAGGGAGACTGGCAGGGGCCAGATCAATCTGGACATTATAGACCCTGGTGAAGAGTTTGTTTTTTGAAGTGTGATGGAAAGCTTAAAGAGGGTTTTAGGCAGGGGAATAAAATAATCTTTTTTTTTAAAAAAAAGATTTATTTATTTTTAGAGAGAGGGGAAGGGAGGGAGAAAGAGAGGGAGAGAAACATTGATGTGTGGGAGATAGAGCGATTGGTTGCCTCTCGCATGCCCCCAACTGGGGACTGAACCCGTAACCCAGGCATGTGCTCTGACCAGGAGCTGAACCTATGACCTTTCAGTTCGTAGGCTGGTGCTCAATCCACTGAGTAACACCAGCCAGGGCAAAAATAATCTTATTTATGAGATAATTAAAGATAATTTGGCCTGCAGAGTGGAAAATGGACTGTTGGGAGGGAAGTATGAAGAAGGGATAGCAATTATGAGTTTTTTAAAAATTTACTGTAATCAAAGCAATGGCCTAGACCAATATGGTAAAAAGGGAATGGATTCAGGATATGTTTTCAAAGTGGACTCAACAGGACTGGCTGATAAGACTGGATGAGGAGAGTGAGTGAAAGGGAGGACGTGGGGAATTGAAACTCAGTTTACTTTGTATGAGTAAAAAGTTAATGTGAAAGCAGGGCAGGGGTGAATGAGATTAAGAACTATTACACTAAATCAGGTTTGGAAATGCTAGCATCTATTTATCCAGGTCCCTGCTTAACATGGAAAGAAGAGGTGGGTACATTAAGATTAGGAAAGGTAAGTATGAACAAAACTGCTTTGCAAAACAATTGTCTCTTAACATCAACTTGAGGATCATCCTATTGGAGGGTCTCGTGTTAAGCAGGCAACTGATAACAAGGGTAAGAGTTCTTTCTATGCACTGAAAGTTCGCTAGAGGCCAGGCACTGTGCGAAGTGCTTTGCTATAAAAGTGTTATCTCATTTAACCTCAAATTAGCCTTGTAATATTTTCCCCATAATAGAGATAAGAAAATTGAGGTCCACAGCGACTAAGGGACGGGTGTGGTCACATGGCTCCTTAAGTGGCTGAGACAGGGTTTTAACCCAGGCAGTCTGATGTCAGAGCCTAGACTCTTCACCATTATGTTACATTGCCTCTAATGTTAACGGAACACCAATGTTATGTTAAGCACGGTGTGAGAGGCTGGGTGGATACAGTTATAATTTAATATGAGCAATAAGTTAAAGAAATACAAACCTTGTAGGAATAAACAACTTTGCAGGTGAGTGGATAATTTCTTAAGGTGCCAGAAGGACTGGAACTGCTGTCATCAAAAACATCCATGTTGTCTTCAAACTCTTCTCCTTCTTCCCTTTCCGTATCTGCATTAAGCTAGGAACAATTAGAAGCCATTGACTAGCTTTCTTACTTCAAGTAAATGGTTGAAAGCAAGAGAAACACTTAAAACTTGATTAATTCAAAATATTAACATTCTACTGCATAAAGATATAAGTATCTTTTCTCACTTGCATTTTTTATGTTATGAAAGGGCAAAGGCTTTTTTCTTTTTAAAACCAAGAATAAATGTTTTTCAAATATATACCAAATATTTATCAGTATCCTTTCACTTTTTACTGTTAAATACTGATTAATAAAGACTTTTTACCATTTTAAACCGATCATATTGGGGAACATTAAAAAGATTTCTAAATGCTACCAAGGATGTGGAGAAACAGGCTTTCATCTATGGCAGACAAAAATGTAAACTGACACATCCTTTAAAAAATAATCTGCTTACTGAAATTAAAAACTAAATATACCATTTGATCTACCAATTTCACTTCTGTACATCTATTATGGAGAAATAAAAGCACCAGGATGTAGGACTGTATGAGTGTCATCTAGATGTTCATTGCAACATTGAATGTAGTGGCAAGAGCCTGAATACCATCTATATAACCATCAACTGAGGAATGACCGACTAAACTATGATCAATAACACTCATTAAAAATGAGTTAGAGAATAGAAAGCCTAGAAATAAACACTCACATATACAGATAAAGGATTTCAACAAGGGTCCCAACACTATTCAATGGGGAAGACAGTCTTTTCAACAAATGGTGCTGGGCAAATTAGATACCTACATCCAAAAGAATGAAGTTAGACCCTTATCTTACAAAAATTAACTCAAGTTACCAAAGGCCTAAGCATAAGAGCTAAAACGATGAAACCCCTAGGAGAAATCATAAGAGAAAGGCTTCATGACACTGGATTTGACAACGATTTCTTGGATATGACACCAAAAGCATAGGCAACAAACAAACAAAAAAAATGAAATTGGACTTGATCAAATAAAAAACTTTTGTGCATCAAAGGACAACAGAGTAAAAGGCAATCCACAGAATGGGAGAAAATATTTGCAAATCATATATCTGATAAGGGATTAATATCCAGATATATAAAGAATGCCTAAAACTCAGCAATAAAAACAAAACCCAATTCAAAAATGGATAAAGGGCTTGAATAAACATTCTTCCAAAGAAAACGTCCAAATAGATCATAAGCACATGAAAAAATGCTCAACATCACTAACCATTGGGGAAATGCAAATCAAAAACATAAGATACCATTTGATATCCATGAGGATGGCTATTATAAGAAAACCCCCCAGGAAATAAATGGAGATAAAGGGAGAAATAGGAACACTAGTATACTGCTGGTAGAAATGTAAAATGGTGCCACTGCTGTGGAAAATGGTATGGCAGTTCCTCAAAAAATGTAACACAGAATTACTATATGATTCAGCAATTTCACTTCTAGGTACTCATATTCACCCCAAATATTTTGAAAGCAGGGACTTGAATAGATATGTGTACACCAATGTTAACAGCAGAATTTTCCACAACAGCCAAAATGTAGAAGCAAGCAAGTGCCCATTGACAGATGAATGGAAGAACAAAATTTGGTAAATTCATATGACAGAATATTATTAAGCATTAAAAAGGAAGGAAATTCTGACACATGCTACAATATGGGTGAACCTCAAGGACATCAGTATTATGTGAAATAAGCCAGTCACAAAAAGATAAATCCTGTATAATTCTACTTATATGATGTACCTAGAAGAGTCCAATGCAGAGACGGAACGCAGAACGCTGGCTGCCGGAACCTGGGGTTTGGGGCCCTGGGGGCTTTACCGGGCGCCGGGTTCACCGCTGCAGCACGAAAAGCGTTCTGGAGATGGATGACGGCTACGGTGGTTCAACGGTGTGACTGTACTTAACGTGACTGAACTGTGCACTTAAAAATGGTTGAAGTGTAAGTTTTACGTTATGTATGTTTTACCACAAAAAAGGAGCACCTTTCCTTTTGAAATATAGCACAAAGAAAATCGGTTTTTAACCAAGTGTAAATGTTTATTACGCACCACAGCTAAAAGGCATATATGAAGTAAAATGATATTGAGAGAAAAAAAGATGGTATTATGTGCAAAACAGTGTATTTACCTAGAGTACCATCCATGATAGTAAAGTACAAATAATATTTATATGAGCACAAATTATCTGACGGGGAGGCGGAGTAAGGAGAATAATGACTGAAGAAAAGAAGAGGTGGCTGACTTGTTTTTATATACCTCTGGACTATCTGAACTATTAGAATAAACATGTTTTACTTTTTAGATTTAAAATCCAATAGAGAAGAAACAAAACTAAGCTTAAAGGTTTCTTTATTTCTATGTATATACGAGCACTTATTTGGCTACTTTTCCCCCTGTTTAAACATATAAACGCACCGATGTTCACCCATTAAGGGCATACAGAATGAAGTGTCAGAATTAGGCCTCACAGTGGAACAGTTAATTAAAATATCAGATACCTACTACATGTCAAACACTATGCTAGGCTCTCAGATAGGAAATGAAGGCCACCCTGAATGCTTTCCAGGAGTTCGCAATCGAGAGCGGAAATCTACCACAACTAAGTGCTAAGCGCGTAGGAAGCATGAGCATGAAGAGCTGACTGGAGAAGGTCAGAGTTTTCCTGGGAATCGATGAGCCAAAAAGTAGAAGCTGCCTATATCGTCAAGTTCTACTTTTTAATAAGGAGATTTCTCTTGAGTAATTATCACTAATGTTTTAAAACTGACTCTCCTCTTAACTGCTATTTCTCTAACAAAATTCTATAGAATTTTTTTTTGTTTGGGGAGGGTGGTTTCCCAGAAGAATAAATAGTACAGTACACATTTTCCATTACATTTATTGCCTCCATTTCTAAATCCCTGTATATTCTCACATATAACTCCTATTGAAAATCTCCACAACTGAGTGAGGTAATTGTGTATCTCATCTTACAAAAAATTCTTCTAAGGTTAGTCAGGTCGATGACAAAAGTAGGCTCAAATCTTGACCTTTCAGATCACCTCATGCTTATGAGTCCACTGTTTTCCAGGGCATTTTTGTCACTGAAGATGAGGATCATATGCTAGAAATTGCTTTTATATTCTAGTAAGGGTTACAGACATTAAGAAAATAAAACTGTTGGCTGGGAGTGGGTTAGCGGGTGGAGGGATTGAGAAAAAAGATAAAGGGCTCAAGGACACGGACAGTAGTATGGCGAGTGTGGGGGGCAGAGGTGGAAAGGGGTATAAGGGGGATGAATGGTAACGGAAAAAATAAAACGAAATTAAAAAAAACAAAACTGTTGGCATTACAAAAAACAAGACAAAATAAAACACCCATACATCTATAAAACTAAAATTAAAGCCAATGTGGGTAGAACAAGTTTCCAAAAATATATAAGGAATGTTAATATGTACTGTGCTTTGGCACTGGGAATGAATCCAAAACATTTTATTTTGGCAACGTTGTTTGATACTAAACATTCCTTCCTTCCCGTTTATTTTGAGTTCATTTTTTGATTCTCGTGAAAGGGAACGAAAGGTTGCAGTGACAGCAACAGAGGTCACTGCCATGTGCTTTTGCATTGTTTTGTTTCTTAACAACTGCTCTCAGTAACCCTTTCCTTCATGTCACCTGAAAGAACTTCAATCACAACTATTCTTTTTAGCTGTACTAATATTTTTCCTTTCTTAGATGTTGTAAAATGCTTACTCATAGTGCAAGGGCAGAGAAGAAGGGCCTTCTGCATTGGTTTCAGTAGCCATCTTCCTGTACTCAGCAAAATAACCACTATCTCCATAAGGTAGATAATACTCCTTCATGTGAAAGATGCTCAACATTATTAATGAAATACACATTAGAACTATAATGATATACTACTGCATACCTATCAAAATTTCTAAAATTAAAAAGACTGACCACACCAAATGTTGGCAAGGTTGTGGAACAAGTGGAACACCAGTATCCTGTTGATGGGAATGTAAAATGGCACAACCAGTTTGGCATTTTCTTAAAATGTTAAATATATACCAATTATACAACTCACCCAAAACATATGTTCAAAGAAGTTTTACTTATAATAGTTCCAAACAATGCAAATGCCTATCATCAGGTGAATGGATAAACAAACTGTGTGGTATATTCATACAACAGAGTGCTACTCAGGAATGAAAAGAAATGGAACTACTGATGCAGGCAACAATATGGATGGTCCTCAAAATAATCATGCTGAGTGAAAAAAGCCAGAGTCCCCTCTCCCAAGAGAATAGTTACTGTATGATTTGGTTTATATAAAATTCTAGAAAACCCAAACTAACCTATAGTGACCAAAAGAAGATCAATGGTTGATTGAGGGGCTGGAAGGAGCATGAGGAAACAAGGGTCTCACTGGCATGTTCATATGTCAAAGGTCCCAAACTGTACACTTTAGATACGTGCAGTCTATTTATGTCAATTATACCTCAGCAAAGCTGTTAAAAATATCAGTAAAGCTTGAAAATTTTAATGACAACTGGCCACATAGTACTTGAAGGTGCTACAAGACCATTAACTATACTGAAAATAGGATGATCAATGATGATTCAACAGATGATTTTTAAAAAGGAAAAAAAGAAATGCACAGCAATGAAAATGAATCATGATAAAGGTTAAAGGAATACAGGGTCATCCACAGGGTAAGAAAGTATGGTAAAGAGCAGGGCTTTAGAAAGCATATCGGGGTTCAGATTCCTGCTCTCCCCACGTACTAGCTGTGTGCTACAGGGTAAGATGTTTAATTCTTCTAAGTCAATCTTCTCATCTGTAAACATATTCAGAATTGTGATTAGTAACTGAAATAATGTATGTACCTGACATAGTACCTGTTACAGAATAGATACTTTACTGATATAAATTTCCTCCTTTTAGTAGTATTTTAAGCTTAGTTGGTAGAACTGGATAGAATCAACTGCGTATCTTGAAGTTCAGGTTAATATTTTTGAACATGTACTAAGTATAAGGATGTGTGTCAGGAACTTTCCTTATGGCTATGCAGAAAATCATAGAACATAACACAGCTGGAGATGCTTCTCTTAGAAGTGAGAGTCTCTACATATTTTCTATGTCCATCTTTTGGTCTTTACTGTCATGAGGCTGGTTCTCTCAAACTGGAGATACCAATTCAACAGACCTTATACCCAGCTTGGTAATTTCCAGCATCTAGCAAAGGGTCTCATAAGCAGTGCGGGCTCAGTACATCCTTACTGAATTAAATGAAACTGATCCAAAGTGGGAATTTGAAATATCAATTTCACTAAAAAAGTGGGTTGTTTAAGTATGCAGTTTAGTCCAATTAAAAGACCACTGACCATTTGGAAATACTGTAAACATAAAGGTGGCTAAAGAGCCCTGGCTGGTGTGGCTCAGCAGGTTAAGTGCCGGCCTGTGAACCAAAAGGTCGCCAGTTCGATTCCCAGTCAGGGCATATGCAGGCCAGGTCCCCAGTAGGGGGCATGCGAGAGGCAACAGAGCCATAGATCCATGTATTTTTCACACATCAATGTTTTTCTCTCCCTCTCTTCCTCCCTCTCTAAAGATAAATAAATAAAATCTTTAAAAAAAAAAGTGACTGAAGATTTTTGCACGTGTATTTTATAATTTTCTACAGTTTATATTTATTGCATTATAAAAATCCATTGACTTTTTGGGGGGTATTGGCTCAAGTCAACAGGTTTTCTTATTTCAAAAACAAAGCCCATTGGATGGTGAGGACTATTCAGGATTATTGAGGCATATGGGAACCAAACTATCATCCTGAAGATTAAAAATATTTAATTTCTCTGCCTTTCAAAATGCATTATTCAGCATGATTTTCATAATGAGTGGAGTCAGAATTTATGTCCATGCAACTATACAAAAGGCTCATACACTTAGCTACACAACAGATGTCAGGATACTTTTGTACAGTAGCTGGGGGAAGTGGTTGAAGACAAAGTCATGTAAACAGTGTCAGCTATAGTTTGAGAATCTGAAGAAAAAAATAATAAAAAGAACAAAAATAAACCAAACTAAAACAGAGAACTTACAGATATCTGACCCAATAATACCACTCCTAAGAATCTATATTACAGAAAATAAATCCCAAGCATGAAAACAAAAAAGAAATATGTATACAAATGTTTTTTAGCGTATTATTTATTCTATCTGGAGGCAATCTAAATATTGAACCTAGAAGGGAATAGTTACTTAAATGAATTACAGTACAGTTTCCTGATGGAATACTATACAGTCATAAAAAGGATGATTATGAAGACCACTTGGCAACATGGAGGGTTAGGTGGAAAAATATACGAAATTAACATTATTATGATAACTATGTTTAAAAAAATAGTAGAAAGAAGGAGTTACATCAAGTTGTTAACAGCAGTGTAATAAGGATGGAGCTTTAGGCCATTGTCTTCTCTATTATACTTTCTAATTTTTCTTTTTTTTGTAGTCTGGTTATCTAACTTTTTCTCTTCTAAAATTAATGTCATTTCAAAATTAGGCTCTCAACTGGGTTGTTGGGTAAGAGGAGGCAGGGAAGTAAGAGAAGGGAGGGATGCGTGAGGCTGACTGGGCCACTGGCAGCCATCCAGTCGTGTGACGCTGTGTGTGGACTCCCGTTAACCATCAGCTGAATCACTGTGTCAGCAGACTGCTCTCCTTTAAAAAAAATATTGCTATATTCTGGGATTGTCTTTTTTTCTTCCCAATCCTATATTCTGTAGTACAGCATAATACAGAAGGCAAAGAGTTAATACCCAACTAAGTATAGTTCCCTCCTTATTCTATAAGGTAAATAGACTGTATCTTAAAAACATTTATCTTCTCAAAGGCACTTCATACTGTTGATGCCTAATAGCAGTATTAACCATGTTTTCCAGATGGAAGGGAATGCTAAACTTGATGACTAATGTTTTAATTGGCATCTATAATGGAAGAAATAATTTGGTCCCCAGAATGTGTATTTCTGGTTCATGATCCTAGCCAGCTAGTTGTCAGTGTGAAGAGATACAACTCCCTCTGAATAATTTCAGTGCTGTCATTTAAAAACAGGTTAAATAAATATTGAGGCTTCATTAAGCTATTTTGTGCCTACATCTCTCCCTTATTTATACTGTTAGTAAAGCTTCCACAAAAATATATCCCTCGGCCACAGGTGGGAAGACGCAACTAGACTGCCTGGAGGAGCCTGGACTGGCGTGGCTCAGTTGGCTGAGCTCTATCCTGCAAAGCAAAAGGTCTCCTGGGGAACATGCCTGGGTTGCGGCCAGTGCAAGAGGCAACCAATCAACGTTCCTCACGTTGCTTTTTCTCTCCCTCTCTTTCTTCATTCTTTCCCCTCTCCCTAAAATCAATAAATAAAATCTTAAAAAAAAACCCAAAACTAACTAGAGGAAAGAAAAGAGTGGAATGAAATGGCAAAGTGCTCCTTTTACAGAGGATATATGTCTGTATCTTTATAAACAGTTCTCAAAAATACCCAATTTAATCAATACTCACTGCCAGACACTGTACCAGGCACACCTTTATTTCCTTCCTTCACACTCAGAAGCCCTTTTTGATCTCCTGTTAAAATTCTTCAAGGACTATCTCAAATGACATTTCCTTCTTGTGCAAACTTTTTTCCTATTTTTTTAGCTGGTACTGAGCTGTACTGACAGCTCTTTATAAAACTGTGAGATTTTGGATTTGGAGAGGATCTTAGAATCATTTAACCTAACTTTCTCTCTGACACCCAGAGGCAAGTGACTTTTTCCTGAGGCGAGTGGACCAGTCAGGAGTAAGCAATTTTGAGTTTGCCGTACAGGCGCCCAGTTACACACTGCCATGCATCACTGAGGTCTATAAATCCTGCCTGCTCTACCAGCTTGTCAGCTCTTTCAGGAGAGAGACCAAGTCTTGTTCTTCTCCAATTTGCTCAGGAAGTAGGCACATAGTTAGGCAACAAGTGCTGGCCTGGTTGGTTTAGTTAGAGAAGGTGCGAGTTCAAGGAAAAGGGGGGGTTGATTGGCTGCCAGCAGTGCTGCTGAAGAAGCCAAAAGCAAGCCTGCGCCTGGCGTTTGCATCATTACTCCTGTACAGATGAATGACCTGAAGAGATGGGAATTTGCCTTTTTAAAAGGCGCAATAAAAAGAACTATTACACAACATGGGGCAATTCTGTTGTACTGAAAACAGGGCAAGCTCTTCTAACCCCAAAGTCAAGTGGGCAATGTGTGCTTATTTTCCCCAGTCGGGTTACCATTAATGGTGAAATAAAAATAAACCTTCAATAGATTGTTTGTCCTTAAAATGCACACCCATGCACCATCCTTTTTAAATGTGTAAGCAGAATGGTATGTAAAAAAACTGGTAATACTTTAAGGAATGTTCTTAAACTTTGGCCAGTTTCTCTAGCAAGGGTGCCTTTTTTAATCTGAAGGGCACAAGCATTGAAGGGGCACTCTGGATATAATGGGAAGGTGGGAAATTAAAATTTTGGTTTTCAATTTCCCACTATTCCCCCTGTCCCTCCATTCATTCATTTCTTCCTTTGATAGACGTTTACTGAGTGTCTACTATGTGCCAGGCACTTTGCTGTGCACGGCAGTGAACCAGGCAGGGATAGCAATTACATTCTAGAGTGAAGGACAGATAATAAACATACAAACAAAAAAAACAAAGAAGATAAATATAGATTGTGATAAATGCCACAAGTAAATAAGTAGGATGAGAGAAAGTAATGGGTGGCGAGGAATTACTTCAGTCTGACCAGTTAGGCATCATTATACTCACTGATATAAGTATTAGGCAAATCGCTGAACTTTTCTGGTACCCAGATCTCCAACATAAAAACACTACGGTTTAACCAGATGACATCAGAGTAGAGAGACCCCTGGACTTGAAAACTTAAGCCTGAGTTCTGGCCTTGTTTGTTAGAGACCATCTCCCTGATGAAAGACACTGTGAGCAGAATGGGCAAGCCCTTGGGAACTGAACGGGCAAAGCCACCGATTGTGAGTGTTCCTTGTCCTTCTTTAGGATTGTTTCCAACTCTCTGGATGTTTATTTTCATTTACACCAAAAAAGACTTTTGGAACTTCAAAAACTCTAGATCGAAATTTTTATTCTGCTACTTCCAGACAAGAAGCGTATCTACTTCATGAATGGGATAATGGGGATGGTAAACTGGCACTGATAAACCAATTGGTGATAGTATGCTCTTCACAGAAAATTTTTAAAAAGTGCTGTTCCTCCTTACTCCCTTTTCTTTCTTACACTAAAGTTTAACTCAATTAGTGATAGGTTAAAGAAAAAATACCCAAACCACTAGCAAAAGCACTATTTTGTTCTTTAAAATTTTGGTCATTATCAGGTTTGGCTACACAGTCAAAGATTATTGCCTCTCAATGAAAGTTAGACTATCACACCCAAGAGGAGGAACATACCGAGTGTAAAGTGCCATTATTGGTCACTGCAGGAAGGCGGGCCCATCGCTCGTTTTCCAGTTCTTCCATCACTTGGTTCATTGCACTCTTCAGCCACGTGTCCACAGAAACACCGATCTGCTTCAGCAGGTCCAGTCGGGCTTCAGCTTTCAACTTAATTATCTAAGGAAACCAAGAAGATGGTCTGACATCAGGATATTTTTCTCTCTCAAATGGATTGTTTTTAAGTTATTTCTGACTTACTAATTAGAAAAACACTAATATTCACTAACAATTCTGCCTTGGCATAGTTGTTAATTTCTCATTTGGAGGGAGGGACAGAGGGAAAGGTAAAGAGGGGGTGGGGGATGGGAGAGGACACGAGAACAGGAATTAGGCTGCCGACCGTGGCAAATGGCACACTTGCATTGACAAGAGACATCAAGTATAACCTATGAATAGGAAGCTATTAATGGGCCGTAAAGTCTGCTTTCTTTTCTTCTTAATAAGGCTACATATACCTCAGAACATACCTCAGAGCATCTTCAACAGGCTTCTACCCACCTCTTGGACTTCCCTACAATCCATCTTTTACAAGTCTGCAAATGACTTCATCACATCACTCCCCTGTCTGAAAGCTTTCATGACTCCTGACTGCCCGATGAGTAAAGGTTTTTAAATTAATTTATTATGCAGCTGTCAGAGACAGTAGAAATTGAGAATAAAAAGTTCCTATTCTCCGAATTAAAGGGAAATGCTGCCTGTTTTTTGGCTTTTGTTCTAGGAGGTAAGCAGGTAACCACAGTTTAAACCCGTCCCTGTCAAAAGGCAACTGCTTTGCTCCAATAGCCATGGCTCTGGGAGTCCGGCATTCAGTGACAGCCCCAGGCTTCTGCGAGGCCGCCAGCCGACCAACCGCAGCCCCACTCCAGCGGCCTGTCTCTCTGTGCACCACAGCTAAAAGTGAGCCAGTCTGTGAAACACTCCCAGTTTTGAAACAATGCCAGTCTCAGGAATCCACACTTCCTTAAATGCTCTATGTCAGTTCTACTTTGTTCAGAGAGACGGTATTTTGTGAGTATCCTTCTCTTTTGCTTTAGCAAGTAGTACACTCAGCTTCATTGTTCCACAAATCAGAATGATAGTCTCTTCCTCCAGCCTTTGAAGGCTCCACTAAGATAATTTTAAGGATTCTTACTTAATGGCCTTCTGTGGGACTCTTGGACAAACAAGTGTGCTCACTGAGCCCTCCTGGTGCACAATTTTGATCAATCTCTGGATTCTCTGCTGGGGGAGTCGGTATCAAAAAGGATCTGAGCTCAAACCTGTTTCACTTAGTGCTCACTGCTGAATTTGTTGTATTCCTAAGATTTTAAAGCACTGAGATAAAATTTACATCACACACAATTCACCATCTTTATCATTTTAAGTGTTAAATTTAGTGGTTTTGGATATCATATGAATCTCTATATAAAGTAATCAGGGTTTTTGGCTTGGAGGCACAGCATCTGGTAAACAGTCTTGCAAAAAACTGCTTATTCTTCTAATAATTTCTTTTTTTTTACAACAGCTTTATTGAGATAAAGCTTACACATCATAACATCCACCCATTTAAAATGTGTACTGCAATAGTTTATAGTATATTCACAGATACGTGTAGCTAACACCAGTCAATTTTGGAACCATTTTATCACCCCCAAAGGAAACCCATCTTTTAGCAATTGCTCCCCTATCCCTTACTTTTTGCAAACTCTGGCAACCACTACTTTCTCTGTAGACTTACCTCTTCTGAACATTTACTATAAATAGAACCATACAATATGTAATTTTTTTTGTGAGATTTATCCATCTTATAACATGTATCAGTACTTCCTTTTCACAGCCGAAAAACATTCTATTGTATACATACACCACATTTTGTTTATCCATTTGTCAGTTGATAGACATTTTGGTTGTTTCAACTTTTCCTGCTAATGTGAATAATTTTACATAAACATTATTGTACAAGTTTTGTGTAGACATGTTTTCATATCTCTTGGATATATACATATACCTAGGACTGGAATTGCTTGATCATAAAGTAATGCTATTTTAACCATTTGGGAAAATGCCAGACTAGTTTCCAAAGCAGCTGCCTCATCTGACAATGCCACCAGCAGGGTATGAGGGTTACCATTTCCCCATTTCCTGGCAAACACTTGTCAATGTCTGCCTCTGTGATTCTAGCCATCCCAGTGGGTGTAAAGGGGTATCTCATTGTCGTTTTGATTTGTGTTTCCTTGATGACTAATGATGTCAAACATCTTTTCATGTGCTGATTGATCATTCCTACAGCTTCTTTGGAAAAATATTTAGATCCTTTGCCCACTTTAAAATTGAGTTGTCTTTTTATTGTTCTTTTTATTTTGTCTTTTAATTGTAAGAGTTTTTATGTATTCTAAATAAGTCGCTTATTAAATACTTTGCAAATATTTTTTTCCCATCCTGTGGGTTGTCTTTCACTTTCTTGATAGTGTCTTTTGAAGCACAAAAGCTTTCAGTTTTGATTAAGTCTAACTTATTTATTGTTTCGGTTTTCGGTGTCATATCTAACACATTAATCCAAGGTTATAAAGGTTTATCCCTATGGTTTCTTGTAAGAGTTTTATAGTTTTAGCTGATATACTTCGGTGATAATCTTGGGTTAATTTTGGTATATGGTGTAACAGGGGTCCAATTTCTTCTTTTGCTTATGAATACCCTGTTGTCTCAGCACCATTCTAGTATGTATTTTTAGTTAATATAGGCAATGAAATGTTAAAAAAAAAAAGAGTGACCTGAAGCAACAAACCCTTTCTTGGAAATGTAAACGTAAGTCATTTAACTGCTGAAGGAAAGAGAGAGAGAGAGAGAGAGAGAGAGAGAGAGAGAGAGAGAGAGAGAGAGAGAGAGAGATTAGTTTATTCTACTTTCTTGATATTAAGTAATCTAGTTTTTATAAGATTTATTTTTTTCCAGTACTTTACCAAACAACTGACAAACATGGTATTTGCAAAGTTAGATTTTTAGACTACAGTTCCAGAATAAATATTGTTATTTTTCCTTTAGAGTTCCAACTGTTTATATTTCAACTGTTTAAAAGCAGAATTTTCCAGTGTTTTCAAATGAATTTTGATGATTTACCAGTGGATCGAAACTTTGCAGAGTCTAGCTCTCTATAACTTGATGACATTCTACAAACAATTTGGCCAAATCATTTTTAGAACTTATGAAGAGACAAGTTTTTTAAAATGATGTTTGAAAAGCCAGATCTTTAGGATACAGTTTCTTGGTGTATGTAGACTGCCAATGAACTGATTTTAATATAAAAATTAATATAAGCATATCTAAGGGTCAGGCCATAGTTTAGTTTCTGAAATTCTGATAGTTAAAAAGCCTGTAAATCTCATTTCATTCAATCCACATAACAACTCTGGGGATGGGGAACGTAAACTCCATTTTATAGAGGAGGAAAAGGATTTAACCAAGGTCATACTAATTGTGGTAAATTGTTATCCCCAATGAATCATGCCTCATGGTATCCATATAGTGCCCCTCTCACATTGATTCTGGGCTCGTACATGTGATTGGCTTTGGCCAATGGAACAAATGCAAATTTTATGCAAGCAGAGGTTTGGTAAGTGCTCTTAGGACTTGATTTTTAGGAATGTGCCTCTATCATGTGAGGAAGCCCAGAGTTAGTGTATTAAGAAATGAAAGACCACATGGAAAAAGGGCTCAGCCCTCAGCAGACCCTCTAGCTGAATGCAGCTCACTGAGGAATCTTCTCAGGCCAAACCTGCAAAAGAAGCGCATGAAGTCAAGAGCCAGAAGGGTGAGAGATAATAAATCATTGTTTTGGCCATAAATTTGGGTGAGATTTTTTTAAAGGTTTTTAAAATTTATTTTTGAGAGATGGGAAGGGAAAGAGAAAGAGGAAGAGAAACATCAACGTGAGAGAGAGACATCGATCAGCTGCCTCTCACATGCCCCCAGCTGGGGACCAGGCCTGCCCCACAGGCCGGCACTCAGTCCACTGAGCCTCACTGGCCAGGCCTGGATGGTTTTTTAAAGAGAGCACCAGATTATTGTGTTTGAATAACTTAATTTCCAAATATCTGGGGATTTTCCAGGTATTTTTTTGTTATTGATTTTTAATTTAATTCTGATGGGTCAGAGAACACATTCTGACTGACAGCAATCCTTTCAAACATACGGACAGTGGTTTATGGTCTAGGATCTGTTCTTGTTGAATATTCCACACACATTTTAAAAGAACGTATATTCTACTCCTGTGTGGTAGAACATTCTATAAATGCCAGTTAGGTATAAATGCTCCACATGTGCGTTGAGGTTTGGCCAAGGATTTGTGTGGTTATTTATATGCAAATTAGAGGGCTCCTTGCCTTTCATCCACAAGCCAGTGAGGACTCTGCTAAAATTCTAGTGTGCAGCCCTTCAAAAAGAGCTATGTAATGTAACTATCATCAAGTACAGTCTCATCCTTAAGGGTCAATTCCTTTCCAGCTTTTATATGCTCTGGGTCATTTTCCAGTTCTACCAAATAGGTATTTGAAATATTTTTACCCTAGACTAATAATTTCCTAAAAGAGCTAGTTCATTATTAACAGAAGCAGAAATCCTTATAGAGCTATATTCTGCATTCAAAGAGAACTGCAAAGAAATCTTAAATTATACTCAGTTTACTATTAGTAAATATTTGTATTGTAATTTTGAAACTAATATATATACTGCAGGATAAAGCAAATAAAATATTATGATGCTATTATTAGGAACTAAGATTTTAACGCAAGAAAAAATATATAAAATCGAAGAAGTTAACAAAATCCTTCTAATCTTAAATTTTAATTAGAAATATCCTCTGACTTCATGATTTAAAAAAAAATCCTGGTTGAAACAACAAAGAGAGGGCTGAAATAAATAACACCCGTAACAATAAGCACCTTCATAGCTTAGATGTTGGTGTCTAACTACTATTTGTTATTTTAAAAAATCAGAGCTCCCTGAAGAAGGAAAAATACCAGGTGAGCCTATTATATTGATAGCTTGTGCTAGAGAGCAAGAATGTGTTCAAAGACAAAGAGGAGTAATGGATACAGAAGTCACCTTAAGTGGATCTCCACTGGCCAAATTTAGACATTATG